AAAACAAGCCCTGTCTGGAAATTTGGCAGGGATTACTGACACGTCTGTGAGCCCCCTCCAGAAAATGTGCCTGGCAGAGAGGAACTGTGATTTTGTCATAATCACTTTTCAGCACTGGGGAGGAGATAGCTCTGACTGTGCCAGTGTGCCAGTGGAGCAGCATTGATGAAGTTCCCATTGTCTAAAGCCAGTGTGTGGGAGAGAGAATATGGATGTGCGTTCTGTAGAAAACTTGCAGCCAAGTCGTAGGAGTAAAACCCAACCTACCAGTTTATTAGTCTGCTTGTTTATTTATTTGTAAATAAATACACACTTAAAGTATTGTAAGCGTGTTTATGTAACTGTAACAGTTTCTGTTTCAGTCTGATCAAAATGGAATTGTACAGTTCTGTGGGGTCTAAATGTAATTGTGTGCAGTAGAATAATTGTTCTAAAGTGTCGTGATCTGTGGTGGTTTGGCTGTACAGTAGGTCACTGGCTAGACTTCAGAACATCATGCATTGTATTATTGTAAAATGTTTTTTTTTTCCTGCAAACACTCATACCAGTGGCCTATCTAAAGAGAGAAAAATAAAAAATGTAATTATCTGGTTATTTTTTTACATGAATAAATATATTATCCAAGAGAGATTCACGTATTATGAACACTGATTGCTCAAACAGAATCATTCTAGCCAAACATGAGTCTGGTCCACACAATTCAACAAAAGGGTACAGGAATCACATTAATATTTAATAGAACGTTTGATGGGACTATAAGCTCCTATACTTACTGTACAGTATATGGACCCTGCGGCTGCAATATAACAGTCAGGTTCATGATTCAGTGCAGTAAGTTAAACACTGGAAGGTCAATTCAAAATATTCGGGAAGGCCAGCATATGTTTCGACAGCCATGCATTTAAATAGTGCTTTGTGGTTATTACTTTTTATACCGCACAAAATTGCTACCTTTATTGCAATCTAGTGTGTCGTATAAAAGAAGCCTGTACTAAAACTGAGAAGCCCGATCAATTGTGCTCACCAGGGATAAATTCTGATAAATTGTGCAAATGAATACCCCTGTGAGTTTGTTTTTTTCTGCACTAGAACCTACAAAAGCTACTGAGCACTTGTGATTATGAACAGCACAAACTCATTTTTATGCTACGTGTTTGTCAGTAATTGTTTTTTTTTAATTCCTGTCCCTTTGCAGAGTTAATAAATGTATTCATGATGTGCTTATAAAAAGTAAATTGTTTGCTTCTGTATTATTACACTGCAAACAGTTTTTGTGTTCTCATCAGTTAATATTACTTTTTTAATAACCAAGGAAAATTAAAAGAACGCTATTGTTTAAGGATACAGGATTGACCCCGTGGGACCTGTAACAGCCAATGTTGATGTCATTGACAGTTAATGCTCTAATTAAGAGCACATTCTCTCCAAACCTCTTTCAAGCATTGTAATTAAACATGTAAAACACTCACAGAGGGATCTGTCACCAGTACTTATTACAGCTAATCAAGCACAAAAAGACCCTAATACACATTTAAAATGAATCTACGCAGATTCGGGAAATGTGCAGTTATTGAATTCCGGTATCAGAAATCAAATCTGCATAATGAAAGTGAGCATTTGATGAATTAACAAATTGAAAGTGTTGGAGCAGTGGAGCAAGGAGGGAGGTGGTGTCGGCGGTGGAATATTTAGAGGTTAGTCCTTGTCTTTCCAGATCAGGCTTCTCGTCTGTATTAAATGGAAGGAACACAAGAAACTATGGAGGTTATAAAAGAGATGGCGCTGCATGCGCTCTCTTATAATGAAAAAACGTTCCCATGCAAAACAGTAGCAAAGCATTCAATAACATAGCCAATCAAGTGAGTACAGTGCCAATCAGGCCCTGAATATGCTCTTCGCTCTTGAGCACAGAAACAAGCCTTTGATTCTTCCTGCCTACTTATCTGCATGATAGGAACTTTCCCAACATTAAAGGTGCTTATCATGCCTTTGCAGTCTTACTTTTTACACAGGGGTACAGTAATGTATCTCTCTGGGTACTCTGATGCACTAGTAAAGCATTCTCAGTGAACAATAGCTCATGTGATACCCAGCAGAGAGAAGGCAGTCATGAGCTTACCATGTGGCCCTTCCCAGTGAGTCAGATGCTTGTGCTTCCTTCTCCTCCAGTACAGATGCTGTAATGTCCCGGGCAGGAGTTCAGGCTCACACCAGTTACAAAGCCCCATAGAAATCTAGCTTGGGAGCTACTGTTGCATCTGTGCGGTGTTTTGTTTTTGCAAAGTTAGCTTCCTTTGGCTATTTATTTAGAAAAATTGAATTTCTTCCCAACAGTGATGTGCACAACCTCTCTCAGGGAGAAGGGGTTTAATCATGGGCACCAAAGGCAGATTGAAAGAACATAAGGAAATTTGCAAATGACAGGGGGCCATTTGGCCTGTTTAGCTTGTTTGTTTGCTAGTAGCTAACTGAGGCAAGGATCCAGCTGTTTCTTGAAAGAAGTCAGAGTATCGGCTTCAACAATATGTCTGGGTAGCTTGTTCCGGACTCCCACCCCCCTTTGTGTAGGAAAGTGCCTTCTGTTCTCAGTTTTATATGAACTTCCTCTGGGTTTCCATTTGTGTCCTGTGGTTTGTTGGTGTTGGTTCTGAGGAAGTCTTTGTTGACTTTGCCAGTGACTTTGAGAATTTTTAATACTTCATACTTTTTAATACAGATCTTTTGTTTGCAAGACTAAAACAATTCAGTTCTTTTAGCCTTGAGAGTAGGACATTTCTTTAAGCCAAAACATACACTGTATATCGTTGTTCTCTTTGGATGGATTCCAGAGCAGCAATATATTATTTGCCATGTGGTGACCTAAATTGTCCATAATATTCTAAGTAAGGTCTTACTGATATGTTGTTCCATTCTAACATAAAATTCCTTAATTTAAATTCAACATTATTAACTTAATATCCCTACATTGAGTTTGACTTTTTATGGCTTCTCCTCATTGTCTCAAAGTTAAAAATGCTGTGTCAACATAAACAAATAAGTCTTTCTCCTAAATTGTTTCTTCAAGCACAGTATTTCCCATTTAATCTTTGTAATCTGTGTTTTTGCTACGTTCATGTAATACTCTGCATGTGTCCTCATTAAGTCTCGTTTGCCAGGTGTTTTCCAAATCTTTGGAAAGCTTCGTCAGTGTTTGATAATTCTCCTAATTTGTCACCACCTGCAAGCTTTACTGTGCTAGAATTTAGATCCTGAAGTTAGGAAGAGCAACTGTCCTAATACACTGTAGACCTAATACTGTATCACCTGTATTGCAACAACCACCCAGTGTACAGATCTACAGTTCTTCGTCAACGTGCATGCATTTTTATGAATGCCTGTCATTTGTACTTTGAGAATTTTAATGACTTTTTTAAGAAACTTTATTAATTTCTTTCTGAAAAACTAAATGCTCTATACCACAGGCTTAGTACCGGTATGTATCCATTACTGCTTATGAGTTTGAATAAGCACGAACACAGCAACAACAAAAAAAGAAAATACAGTTGTGATCATATTTAGTTAGAAGGGGTAGGCATTCCTTTTTTTGACCTTCTAGACTCCCCAGTAATTCGTAATTACAGTAAAACCTTTTTATTGCTTCTCACCACACCTTAAGAGAGCATGGTGTTAACAATGTGAAAGCTGATGGTCGTGTGGAGCTCTGGCAGATGGGGAAAAAAAAAGAGAAGTCTTTAAACAATTAACTAAAATAAATAAATTTAAGAAGTCTTTATGGAACCAAGCTCTGGCAAACAAAATCTCTTCACTTCCTTCCTCACATGTCCCAATGGTGGGTTTCTTTCTGGAACTCCAGGTGTGTTCTGTTAATTGTGGTCTGATCTGTACAGTTACACACTTGTTGTGAAATGCTTCACTGTTTGCGCTGCTGTGTTTTTATGATGTACAAATGGCAATGTTTCCCATTTGAAAATAAGATTTCAAAACTGTGAGCTGTGTTTTTAGATTTCTCTGTATTTTAAGGAACCCTATATTTCTACTGTCACCACTACCTACCCAGAAAAACCAACAACATGCAGTTAGGCTGGAGGTTTTATTGTTGCTGCTTGCTTTGTTTGTCTTGTTTTAACTAGCACTTTAATCTGTACATTTCCTTGAATAGGGAATAAAGTCAGTGTAACCTCTCATCATGTGTAGCCAAATATGAAATTAATTTAAGATGAAAGATGGGTCTCAAATTCCCATTGAAAAAAATACAATAGTCTGATCACCAATCATCCGTGGAACAGAATTTAATCAAGTCTTTGTTGGACTATTAGCAGAGTCCTCTAGCCTTTGGTTATTAATATGTCTCATCTGTATCCATGCCATCCCTATGTTGTTAATCTGCTTGTGGGGAAAAAAACTCAAATGCTGTAAATTGTGTAAATCTGCTCATGTTTTTTTTTCAGTGGGATCAGGATTAATTCTATTGAGTCTTTCTGAGAAATTTGAAACCCTAATACTCATTGTTGCATTCATCGTCTGAACAGAAACACGACCCTACATTTGGGGAAAACAAGATTCATTTCCAGACATCCTGTCACATAGCTTAATATTGGATGATTTGTATTAAGATGGGGATATCTTTTCATTTTCTTAGAAATGTAATTTGAAGTTAATATCTTGTTTGTTTTTTAAAGACCAGGATTAATAACCCCAGATTTTAAATGTATGGGTTTGTATAAAAAGTGTTTATGTCTTGAGGGTCACTGTTATAAAAAAAAACAGACTTCTTCTTACAGTATATTAATTATAATAATATTATTAATATAACTTATGAATGGTGGTATTCATAGCAATAGTACAGTTATATATAGCTATAAGCTATATCCAATTTCTATTTATGACTTTTTGCTTTTTACAAAAGACAGCGGTCAACAGCGAAGCTTGGGTATCTGAGGATGTCAGAATGTAATTAGGACCCAATAATAACACTTCTCGTCTCTGTCTATTGTCTACAGAAATCCTCAATGGCGGTGTGTATGTGGACCAGAACAAGTTCCTGTGCCACGCCGACACCATCCACTGGCAAGATATTGTCAAGAACCCACGCTCAGAGCTCCTAGTCGTGCCCACCAACAGCAGCATTGGATGTGAGTATCCCAGCCATTAGAGGTTAGATTGGGGAACGGCTTTGGTATGAGGGCTGGAAAGGTACAGGCAGAGCTTAGTGCCACTCAAAAGGGTAGAAAGAGAAAGATGTACAATGTTTCAGCCCGTGGAGGAGCCCTGCTCAGGTGGGTAAGGAAAAAAGAAATAGGAAAGTAAAAAGACAGAGGTGAGAGTAGAGGTTAGAGTAAAGGAACATTGAAACAGATTCCCAGAGGAAGTATTACAACTGTTTGTTTTTGGAATTTTGAATTTGTCCTAATATTGTGGTTTTTTCTTTCAAAAAAGACATTGAGTTGAACAGTCCAGATAACAAAATAGCAGGGTTGTGAGGGAACGACCTAAAACATAACAACAGTAGGGTTGTCATTACTGTATGCCAATGTGTGGGACATTTAGGCTAATTTGTCTCTTTTCCTCCTTTTCATATAAGGAATCTCCATGGTTCATTCTTTATATGCAGTACTGGGGGTCCTCTGTCATTGTTGAATGTCCATGTGATAGCGTAGGCTTCTAAATTTAAATTCCCTGTAATTGCATAGTTTATTAACACTTATGAAATACCCTTTATAATATATTCTCACTAGATTTCAGATATATTCTGTTAACTCGCAAAAACAAATACACAATCTTGTTATTACCGTATAATCTAAATGTACTGCAAGCTACTGTTGGTTCCAGTGAACTAACCAGGAGATGCATAGGAATCCAGTTTGTTAGCCTGTAGCATCATGTCCACTCCCAGCCTCTCCTGGGGCTGTCCTTCCGATAAATAAGCCAAAGAAAAGCAGGAGGGAGCAGATTTCACCCTGGCAGGCCATCCTATGTGCTGGGCTGTAGTGCTAAGAACAGCTGTACGCAGAGAGCATGGGGTGTTAATTAATGAGGTCTAATTACCTCGGTGCAGGCTAGGCGAGGCTGGCATTGTCTGGAAACAGACGGCATGTAGTGGGGTCAGAGAGAAACAGCAGGAGACACCACAGGGGACCCTCACGGTGAAGCACGTGGGCAACGATCTCTTCACCACGCACGTGACTGGTTCTCACCTGGCAGGCTGCAAGATCCCGCCTTCTTGGGTCAGGGTTAGCTCAAGCACGTGTCTAATAAGTTATACAGTAACTATAGTAATTGCTTGCATTTATATAGTCCTTCCCACATCGGAGGGAACCTACTTCATTCACCAAAAAAAGCAAGTAGACTCCAGCAAAGTAAAATGTAGTCAGGACTCCATGGATAACACCCTTTTTTGCAAATGGGATTCACAGAGGCTGCATCTGAGGAAACTGTTAATACTCTTAACAGAGTACGGATATTATAACCTCTGATTGTGTTAGGAAAAACTTTTAATAACAGTGCGTATAGAGTCAATCAATTCAATATTTTTGCAAGTGTTGCTTTAAGACCGTCTTGAAACTAGTATTGATGTTCCCATAAGAATCATTTACTTATTTTATTAACATCTACAGTATGAGTCTAATCTTTCACCAGAGGCTTCTTCAGCTTCTAGTGCACTATTTTCCTGAGAATTTGTTACTGGTGTTGCTTGAAATCATTTTGTCGGGACTTGCTTATGAGGATCATACGAGAAGGAACAGGTCACCGAGATTTATTGAAATTATTATTGTGAATTAGACATGCATCCTGCATGTCTTCTTTCACTGTTACATTTGAACAGATTGGTATAGTTCAGTGTATGCAGCTGCAACTGCTGAGTGTTTGAAGAGCCTATGAGAATGTAGAAGAAAAGCATTGCTGAGACAGATGGTTTTTTTTGTAACTAACCTTTTCTTCACCTCTGTGAGGTCAGGAGTCTCACACCTGTTTAGTACGTAGGAAGACAACAGGCACAGCTGACTCCAAGCCCACTGTGTCATCGAGTTCACCTTTGTTCTCCATTGTCGTGACAGCCTTTCAAAACAATAGCTCTGTTCAAGAAATCAGCTTTGAGATGTGGTCAAATAATAGCCGTTATTATGGCTCAGAGCTGTGGTGTTCATGCCAGATGGAAACAGCTTGTTTCTCATCATTTCCTTCTTTTAATTGTCAAAGGGGTATATTGACAGCAGAACTGTCATAGCTAGGAAAGCAGGTGGCAGAGAGGAGGAAGTGGGTACAATGAATGTGATGGAGGGGTGGTAGTTGGATAGTAAATGACAAAGTCGGCGTCGATGTTATTTCTTTAACATAATTACTCTTTAAGACCTTAAATACTAGCTGGCTTGATCTGCAATCATGAACCTGTCATGGAAAAAAACTAACATATTTCCATTTACACTTCTCCTTCATGCTGATGTAAAAGAGTTTTATTAGCAGGGTTTGCTGCGAGTGCCCACTCTTTTTCATTCATCAAAGTATCTGAAAGAAAGCAATTAGATCTAGAACAGATCTCTTGCTGCCTGTGTTTTTTTTGTATTAGCCATTGGCAAGTATTTTAGCTTACTCCGCTGTTATCTGTCACGTCAGACCCTCAGATCTTAACATCTTCATTTACAACCCAAGACACGAAGGCTGGTAACTGACGTTTCTGCTCCTGTGATTTGAAATGAGGAGTGCCGATGTGGGCACGTGAATGTCAAGAGTCTCCAAAATCTCAAGTTCAGAGATGCTGAGATTCAGGCTAATGATGTTAGCCATGTCACCCTACCAGTCAATACAGTCTGCCAGCTGAGAGGAGTCAGTCAATACAGTCTGCCAGCTGAGAGGAGCAAGGCCTCACTACAGAAGGCTGTGTCTTCAAAATCACTTAGGCGCCCACAATTCTTACTGTTGGGGTTTAAGCATTCCAGAATGTTTTTTTTTTTATGGTTGAACATTGGAGATGACGCAGGAAGCTGTTGTCTTGTTGCCCACAGGTGGGCGGTGCCACAGGTCGTGCACAGGGCGCTGCTGGGGACCGCGGGAGGATCAGTGCCAGAGCCGTGAGTATACAGTAGATCCCACCTGACTCGCGACCGCTATGACACGGGGGGTGGGAGAGCGGGAACTCAGTGTAGTGTACGCCAAATAATTCATAAATGACTCCACAAAGACATCCCTGGGATCAATCCATGCACTTCATTTTAATATTTTTTAGTGGAACATTTTCCGAATTGACGTGACAGATATGGAGATGTACAGATGTAGTAGCAGTGATGCGCACCTCAGAGCTGCGAGCTTCTCACTTACCCCAGGCACCCTTAAAACACCACTCGTCACGCAGCTCTGTGTGTCCTTTGCGCGTTGCCGACTGGTGATCAAGGAGTGTCATGACCTTTGCATTCTGGGCCGGGAGAGAGAGGGCAACTGTCAGTTCAGAGGGAAAGACAGAAGCCTCATTGCTATCGTTTTCAAGGCAGACGTTCTTGCTATCAATGACCCATTTAGAGTGCAGCCCTTCCACACTAGCTAATTGCAGGGAAAATCGCTGCTCTTAAGCAAACGCAGCAGGGGTACTCACCGCTGCCTCTCACCTTCTGCAGCAGATAAGTGCACTTAAACACTTACCGTAATTATATCTGGCCCAGCAATTTAATGGAAAAATACAATGAAGTAGGATGCCACAAAAAGTATGCACGCTTGTCTCTCTTCCATTTTCTCTATATTACATTTTCTTCTTTTTGTTCTGTAATGCAAGGACAGTTTCTGCCTGCCTCTGTTCCCTGGCTTTCTCCTTGAACCTGAGATTGAACTGTTTTTTTGTTTTGTTTTCCTTTGGATGATGTTTGCTTCCCTTTTGATAATACTCCTGTCATTTTAACGAATGCCAACTGCTTCACGCTGTTGTTTCATCAGCTCTAATGCATTAAGCAAGATGGTTTGTTAAATAAGATGCAATTATGCTTTGCCTACAAAGAATTTGCACAATATAATCTTTATAAATAACCCATAACCTAATTTTTTCATCTCTAATGTGCTCCTTTTAGGGAACAAAGACAATGTGTTCCCACTAATTCTAGATACATTAAATAAAACCTTGGGTGTATGAATTAGTTGGCTCTTTGCTAATTCAGAAAATAATACAAATAACAGAGCAGAAATGAAGACTTTTCAACACATTTGTAGGTCAGTCCTTACTTTCTTTGCTTCCTTGATACCACGTTTTTCTAGAGATCTGCTCTTTTATTAAGGCAACAGTTCAGAAGCTCCTTGGAAACATTTGCTTCCTGGTGTTATACTGTCACATACACAATCGTCTTCCTCAAACTGGTTAAGTCACAGCAGGTCACAAGTTATACCCCCAAAGATTTCTGGGTCCCATCTTGCCTTCTCCTGTCACGCTACCTCAGCATCTCACTTATGAAGCTTTTGTTGAAGGTCTGATTGTCCTTGAGCAGCACACAAAAAAGTCTCAGGAAAGAGCTAGAACTCATTACAGCAATACACCTGCACACTACTGTTCTGTTTCACTGACTACGATATGCACCTTGTTCCAACCAAACTTGGCTCCAGTTTACTTTTGTAAATATACAGTACAAATCTAAACTATGGATAAGGTATAAAGGCCAAAATGTAGGCTATGGCTCCTTTACAAATCTCATTTAGAGTTTCTCAGAAAGATTAATAGATTAACACAGAGAATTCATCACTAGGATCAATGTTTAGGGAGAAATGGTCACATATTTAAGATATGTTATTTGCTCTGTATACTGCATGCACAAGACATGTCTATGTGATATGTCTATCACTTGGTGTGTGCCAGTCAAGAAAACAAATATGGTCTTTGTCAGTGAACCCAGAAGGCATTATTCTTACCTGAACGTGTCTTAGAGGACATTACCTCCGTGAAAAACGTTCCAGGCATTACATAAATAGTACTGGTATGAAGATGTATCTCTCTGGGAAATTTTGACGAGAGTCAAACAATGTTTTTAAGTCTTTTAGTCAGGCTTAGTGTATGAATGCACCTACACGTCTTCAAACATACACACAACCTCACCTACGCATGATATTGTTCTGAGGAGGCAATTAAACCACGACTTGATTACACATAATGTCAGTACTATGTGTTTTAGTGATTGAATAACTAGCTGCCATTGTTATTAGTGCAGAGATACAGAAACCATCCTGTTATAGCTTTTGACTCTCACTTAAATACACCCTACATACTGTTGCAAATGGGGGTTACGAAAATGGTGAAAAACAGGAAATGATAGAGCAGTGTAGTCAATAGGTAAAATAAATATTCATAACCACCAACTTGTAAGTGATTTCTCTAGAATATATCTAAGCAGTTGGTATAGTTGAAGGCACTTGAATTCTTTGTGCTCTGGTATAGCTTTGGTGTAGTAATAGGAATAATCCAGGCACACATAAAAAAAAATGTTTATTAACAATGACAAGACAAACACATGTTACAGCCAACAACACACAGGTTACTCTATGTGTACAGTATTTACAGACAAGCATTTCAGAGACCTAATATCTAATCACTCAGAAAACCTCAGACTGCTACTAAGTATTGAACTCTTAAATAATGCCCACAGAAGCCATAGTAAGAGATAAGCTGCTTTACAATGCAAACGTCAGTTAAATCTCTCTTTCTGCAACCCTGGGTGCCACAAAATAAATGGGAACCTACTTCCCTATTCTAAAAATCCACCCACAAGCCAGAAAGAAGTCTCTTACCAAGGTATCTTTTACCCAGGAAACCCAAGGTCCCTAAAAGCACAGAGTAGAAAGCTCTCTCTAGCAAGGTTTAAATAATTTGTTATCAAGTTTTGTTTGGATGATCATAAAATAGAGACTCTCACCTGGCTCAAGCTTCAAGTTCCAACTCCTCCTGACTCCTCTGTCTTGTGGCCTGACCTTCCTTCCTCTCCTCTTCCTCCCTTCTGCTGTCTGATTCTTCTTCTCTCCCTTTCTCCTTTCTCTTTTTTTTCTTTCTGTGTTCTTAAAGTGATCTTATATGGTGTGTTTCCACACTGCTCATTGACAATCATGAACCCACAAGGTAAAACAAGGTAAACTTTGCAAGTGTTTTTGACCAGGGGACTCCCCATCTCAACAAACATCCCGTCTGCTTTGAAGCTGGAAATGTTTACAGTGCCAGGTGTCACACACTCTATCTAAAACTTCCAGAGACACTTCCTAGTCACATCTGGCTGTAACAATACATTATCATGAGATTTCAGAAGGCATCCAAAGGATTGAAATTCTTTATATTTTGCTTTACTGAAAATTCATTCTTTTCATTTTTTGTGTGATATTATTAAATCTAAGAAACTAATCAAGGCTGGGCTTGGTCAGTACTCGAATGTGAGACCTCTAAGGAAAGCCAAGTTCCGGCTGTAAGAGGTGGTCACGAACCTTCAGAGAAGAGAGGGTGTTATTTTCCCAGGGTCAGAATTTCTATCCATCCGTTTTCCAGCAGCTTCTCCCATTCAGGGTTGTGAGGGAGCCAGAATCTATCCAGACAAGAAATGGGCGCAAGGCAAGGTCCAACCTGGAGAGGATGTCTGGACCAGAATTACTGTACTAATAATGTGCTATTATGGTCACTGGCAATTCTATGCAGGAGGAGGTGCCATCCTTTGGATGAGATGGCCTTGGCATTTAAATCCCATCACACTTCATTCCATATGTACCGTATAAGGGTGTTAACCCCAGTGTCCTGGTTAAATTCCACTCTGGGTTTACACAATCTGGCCTCCCCAAATTTTCACCCTTAATTCAACTATTGAAACAATTCCTCTCTTCTCCATCTGTATCTGCTGTGCAGTTGCTGGTGCACAATGACTGCTGTGTGTCACACAGATGGGGAATGAAGTGAATTCCCTCCTATATGTACAGTAATATAAGGATCCTTTGGGATCCTTCCAGATAAAAAAAAAAACACTACATGAATGCAAGTAATTATTTATTATATAGGAGACAATTGCGTAATACTTAAAGTGGAACTGCAACACTATTTTATATTCCGGGTTTAGAAACAATCAGCATTGATGAGTGCATTTTGAACCACAGCAGAAGTAAAAATCTATACGGTAACTTGTAAAACCTCTAATTTACATCATATAATAGACAAGACTTCCAGGTACGGTATGGGTGGTGCCATATTCTGCGATGCAGAACGAGGCAACAAAACTTGAGGTGACTTGAAGTGGGCCTTTTACATTGTAAAGAAGCAGGCTTGTGAATACATCTCCTCTAATCCAATAGAAGTCCACAACCTTTAATTATTCGCTCGTAAGTCGCATTACATTAGTCATTACAGTGACTAGCGAGCAGGAAGGTCTGCTTCACGTCCCAATTCTCGTGAGCTCTCGCTCTCGCCCAAGGCGAGACCTGGGGTTGGCGACAACATAGTGACTTACGGTACTTTCACAAAGTTCACTATTTTGTGCCGCATCAAGAATCTGTAACGTTTTTTCTATCCCTTCAATGAATTGATTTTGGTACCGAGATTTAATAACCAGTCTGAGAAACTGGGACTCCGGTTCCCCCATTAATAAATGAACAAACAGAAGTCCTTTTCTCGGCTGGTGTGCAGAGGTGGTGCCACTCGAGTATCATCTTCCCCTAACAGGCCCTGCAGTTAAAAGCATTCCCCAGCCACTCACAGTACCCCCACTGCTGTTGCCACTCTGAAGGATGCCTGCCACATCTCCAAGCGCTAAATTACAGGCCCCCTCCATTCTGCATTACATGCAGGGAAGTGGCAGTATGGAGAATGCCAGGCTGAATGGAGAGGGTGGCGGGATGGCTGTAAATTGCATCTCTGTCTAATGGAAAATAACAGAAATCGATACATAAATCTTATAAACATGCAAAGTTATTACCGAAATACACGATTTTTAATCAAAGACACGGGTGAGCTGTTAAGACACTGTGTAACCATGATTGATCAGCAGTGCTGCTTCAGCCTTTTTCCCCCTCTCTCTGTCCCTCTCTCTCCCCTTCTCTTTCTGCTGAGTGACAGGCTAGGATGAGCTCCCTCCCTGCCCGCCTTACTCGGATCCTCCATATGGCACAGTGCTGGGAATTACTGTTAGGAAAATGTCTAATAAACGGCAGTCTTTAAAAGGCAGGACTTTCGGAGAGAAGAATAAAAATCTAGAAAGAGAAATAAACGCAAACTCCCGGTACCATTTCCCTCCAGTCTTGTATTTCTCTGTTACTCCTCCCTCCATGCTAATCTGCAATGGATTTGGTTTATTTGCACACATCAAAAAGCAATCCTACTACATATGCATTTGCAAATGCCAACACAGAACATGACAAAGCTAGACAAACACCAAGCAATGGAGGACAGGGCCAACCTGCTTGGCTGTGGCAGCTGTCAGGTGATGAGGTTTTGAGTCTCTTTGCATAAGAATAGAGTGGCCAGCAGCCCTGAGGAAAGAGGGAACCTTCCAGAGCGAGGTCCACTTATAGCTGGTTTCTTGGCTGGACGGTTTGAGGATTTTAAAAGTACAGATGATAACATCTCAAATAAATGGAATTTAGTCGCTATGGCTATTAATAATGATGATGCTCAAAACAAATTAACATTCTAAATTTAATTTTGAGCTCTTAAAAGTGAGTCAGCAGCTGTCTCTTAGCATGTACAGCAGCATGCACTGGCAGGGCTAGTGCTAAGATTATTTACAGACACAAAATAGAAGACTGGCTTTGATTGTTTATGTGTAAGACATAGAGACACACAGGAGATTCAGCTTCAGACAACAGTATTGAAGACTGAATGGAAAACTTGAAAGAATGAAAACCTGTTTTTTGTTGTTAAAGAACCTTGGTACCCATACCTTTATTTTAAGTATTTGATTGTTGCTGTGGTAAAACACTTGCTAAGGTTAAGTGGCAGAAAAGCTCACAAAAGCTGGAGATGTAGTTTAAAAATAATAATAGTAATAATGGGAGAAAAACATAAGATGAAAAAATAAAGGCCTCTTCACTCCAATGACAAAGAAACATAGAGAATCGAACTGTCTACACATAACCATACTGACCTCTCTGAGCAAGCTGATTTCAGATAGTTCTCAAAGGACTGAACAGGCCACTGCTTTAATACCATTAAATACAGCAATGCATTTAGGAAGCCCCATCATTCCTATTACACTTAATGATCAATCAGCATACCCCTAAAGTCCCAAATTAAAGGTACCCAATTTTCTTTTTGCTGTTTCAATTGGTTTCATCATGCTGGAATGGTGTAAGCCTTTTGGCCAATCCTTCTTTGCAAATGATAATTGAGTCTTCCTGTGAAAAAGTTTTGAATATTTTTTTTCTGTTTCTCGGCTATTAAATCTGCTACACTGTATTTGCAGATTTAAAATAAGTGTGTAGCTTTTTCCCAGAAAGTAATGGGATTCTTCATTGTTAACTGGATTTAGTGTCTCTGTAAATTCACTTTAGATTTCAGTTTGTGTCTGCTAGAAAGCCATAGAGTCTCAGCATTTCTCGCTGTGTATGTGAATATTTATCTGAAAAAAAAAGGTGTGTAATGAAAACTTAATTCAAAAGGGTAATTTATAGCTATTGCTTTCAGGCGGTCTTTTTTTTTGTCACACGCACACAGAGACACACAGAACAAGTACGATGTAGTTACATTGCCATTACAGGCGATTAGTCCTAAGAGTCCCCTCTGGGCTTGTAAAGAGAAGTGGCTGTGAAGGAATGTGATGGCAGGGAATTGGAACATTAATGTGTGATCCAAATCCACTTGCAGAACACTTGCACAGGCAGCCAGAACTTCGCTTCCTCCATTCTGACGACCTTTTCTACAAATTGCTTACTGTGTTTTTCGTTATAGCTGTCAGCTGTAGGCTGAATTGCAAACCAGGCAGACACGAAAGACATCAAGAGCCATATGCTACGATATCAGATGATTGTACCGATCAGGCAAGGAAATTCAAGCAATTGCAAGATGCTGTTTGTTTTCAAGATGGAGTATTAATCACAGTATGACAATAATCTACACAATCCATGAATGCGACAGAGCGGAAAGCAGAGGGCTTGGCATGAAGGTTCGGGAGTGTCTGCCCTGTCCTCTGATGGATGTATTTTTACATGGTATTTTTTGCTAGCAGCATGTGCAGTACTTGCACTATTAAAAGCATTCCTCAGAATTTTATTCAAAGAAACCCAATTGGTTTGTTACTTTCCCTGTCTTTGTTGCATTTGGATGGAGTCTAGGAGGAAGTCAATGGCCCTATTCCTGCATCCCACACTTGAGTTATGGAACTTTCCTTCCCAACATTCTTTGCTCAAACATTCTCTCCACTACAGCTTTGACACGTTTTCTGGGGGTCCTGGCTGCCTCATCCACATGGCTATGCCGTTGCCTCTAACATCAGACAAACTGAACTCATAACATGTCCTTCATTATGTGGTTGGGTATTGTCAGAATCTCCTCTTTTTTTCCCATTTAAAATACTGCAAGTCCATTTAGGTTTAGCTGAAGTTTAGATAGTTTAGATATAAGATACTGTATAAGATAAATTTAGATTGAAATATAAGTTTAGATTTACTTTACTTTATCAGCCAGTGGATGTATTAATTGAGGACTTTTCAAAATAAGGCCAACAGAAAGCAATTGTTTTTAATTTGGAACTGTGTTCTGTATAATAATAATAATAATAATAATAATAATAATAATAATAATAATGATGATGATGATTATTGTTATTATTATTGTTAAGTAAGTCAAAGTAGGAGCAGTAAGTATATCTGCAGCAGTATTAGTAGTAGTTTTGCTCTGAAGTGAATTTTAAAATCAAACCAGTAGGCTTCACAGCCTCTGTGGGTGATCGGGATTTCTGGTCAGCAGAGAGCTGGCTCTCAGTGTTCATTAGCAGAGCCGCTGGGGTGGGTGGGGGGCAGGATAGTCTAATTGCTCTGTCTCTGCTGACACAAATGACATTCACACTTCACTCTCCCGGGACCCCCTCACCTGCCCACTGACTGTTTAGCTGTTGTTGTTTATGAGCTGGACGGCCACAGATGCTACAATTCCTTCACGGTGTATGTGCAGTGCTTTGCTTGTAACTTGCACCTGAGCAACCATTAGCAAAACATAGACCTTTAATTTTTGCACTCCATTCCATACGGAAAAAAAATGCAAGCCTCATTTTGTTAGGATGCTAAAAGTAAAGTACAGATTGCATTGAATTGCATCACTCATATATCTAATAATACATGTAATAGTCTTCAATATACTTTAAATAAAATATTTAGCATTGAATTCCAATGTACATAACTTTAAAAATTCACAGATCTACATCAGTTTGTATGTGGCGTACTACTGTATGTACTGTATGTTCTTTCTTGATGTTGTACTTTTCTTTCCTCTAAGGCAAGGCCTTTCATTCGATTCTATCCTGGAGACCTCTTTTAAAAAAATCACTCCCAGTGTTCGCGCTCTCTCCCAGCGTTATAACAGTATAAAATATTATGATTTTTTTTCATTAAACAATTTGAAAATATTAACTTAAGGTCCGAAGAACCATCTTCAGTGTTGTAAGAGCAGATTAACTTTGTGCCAGTGTTGTTTATACTGTACATGCTGCAGGAACTGGGGATGAAATGTGTTTCTGGGGACCCCTTTGACATCGTCTTTTACCCCCAGACTCCTGTTTAAGGACCCCTAATCCACAAATACAGGTTGTTTCCCAACATTTAGGGATTCAGAATTATTATCCTGCTGGGAAGCAAATTGCTAAATGTAAAAAAAAAAAACAAGTTGGGGCACTGAAGCTGGGCTGTTGTCATATTTGTTGCTTCTGTGGTCTTTGTGGATAACTTCATTGAGTGCTTCTGGTTCGGCGAGAGGTGTGACTTAGTTCTTGTTCCACAGTGACAAAGACCGTATGCGCAGAGCAGTGTGATGGCAGGTGTTTTGGGCCATATGTCAGTGACTGCTGCCACCGGGAGTGTGCTGGGGGCTGCTCTGGGCCTAAAGACACAGACTGCTTCGTAAGTGAATACCCCTTTCTTTCCCACTATGCACTGCAGCCATGAGGGATTCAACACCATTAGCAGCTCTCATCTGTGAGTGAAAATATACTTAACGTAAACCACTTAGAACTACAGAGCTATCTTCTCTGCGTTCCACGAACAGTAAGATCTTGTGTTTACAAGAAAACAGAAGGTTTTAGAGAACAGACAGCAAATAAAACAGTGTTTTATTATTTGTCCTTATTTGTTGTGCTACTGATGAACAAAATAAGCAAATAAATACCAGGGTATAAGCCCAAAAGGCAAGAGTAAAATTGTAGAACGTCTGTTCCTCTGTGTGAAGCAAATCAACAGATCAACTTCGCAGAGATTTGTCTTTAGTTCAGTCTTAATAAAATCGATACTGAAAACACAGTATGTAACCTGCCCAGCTCGTGCATTTTTTGCTTTCTGTTTCAGGCCTGCACAAACTTCAATGACAGTGGGGCCTGTGTCACCCAGTGTCCACAGCCCTTTGTGTATAACCCCACCACCTTCCAGCTGGAGCACAACCCGAAGGCCAAGTACACCTATGGGGCGTTCTGTGTCAAGAAGTGCCCACGTAAGATTGGAAATAAACATGGCAGGCTCTAACACTGATGATGCAGAATTGCATGAGTGATGAGTCTCCCATGATTTCACATCCAATGACAGGAAAGGGAGGTGTAATGTCAGCAGCAGTGCACGCTTGGAATTCACACCCCTGTGAAAGTCACGTCCAAGTGGGAATGTCTTTACTATATTTACATGTCTACAGTTTTCATCTCTTTTCTACATTTTTGAGAAGTCACAAAACAAGTTGCGGCCTCTGATTTAAGATGAGTGCTGTACTGTACAGTATAAGGTTCTTTCTTCAGTATTTTCAGTATCTTCAGGTTTATATAGTTTTCTTCTTAAGTAAGGTTTATTTTGAACAGTTTTTGGTGCACTGCGCACAATCATCTGTATTTCACATCATCAAACTAAAAAAAAATTAATCAATGGCAAAGTAACCAAGAGAAATCAAATTTAATAATATAATAATGGAACACCAGTGAAGCCTGGAACACCAAAACCACAACCTCGGTTATATATACAATAATCTTAAAGCATAGTTATTAAGACAGGGATATTATATTATGTCCTTGTATTCTTAGAGTATTTTAAGAATCTGATGAATGGTTATAAAACAATGGTCATTCCCCTTCAGTGGGCTGAACTGCAGATTATGCATTATGAATAATTGTTTTAAATACACACCAACAGGAAAACCACAGCCTCTGTCAGGTTTTCAGTCGCCACTGTAGGCTGGTTCTGAAACAGCTGTAATTTAGACATCTGTCTCCCAGCATCCGGTCGTGAGACAGTACAGACTAAACTCTTTCTTGTGCTGGCCTAGGACTCAACCCTCAGTCACAGCAGCTTCTGGCTGGGTGCGTGGATTTGTGATCGAAACAGAACACATGGTTATGTCTCAAGCAGCTTCTGTATTTCCAGTGAGATTTCTTTCTTCCATGCGTACACGCCCCAGTGCTTGACTGGCTGCTTTGCTACCGAGAGCTCTGTAATTGCTTTTATTTTTTAATAGTGCCAAAGATCCACGATGATGTATTTTCTAAACAGATCATGAATATTATAATGAAATTGCCACATCTTTTCTTCTGTTGTGTTGAAAGCCCAAATAGTGCTTTAGCTTTGCATGATGAATGTGCTTCTCTGACTACATGGGCGCATAAAATGAGAAGCTTCATCAGAATGTAATAAAAAGAAAAACTGATAGAATAAGAGGCTGAGGCTATTACATCGAAATTTGATGTGTCCTTATTTTAGTTGATAGTGTCTGAGAGATGGTCTTAGTAAACTAACGTCACTGGTGTTATGAGAAACACATCAACAGCGTTGTTATTGATTTTGAAAGCTACAGATGTGTACATCCCCAGATTTAAATCGCAAAATTAAATCTATATTTGCTCTGTGTTGTCTTCACTGTTCAGAAAGACTTATTTAGTCTTGGTCATTCCAAGAAAGGCACAAGAAAGCACTTTTTCTAGTGTAAGAGAGCCGGTGTCTCGGCTCAGCTCTTTTCATGGGGTGTGTGAGAATGATGAGAACGTCTTTATTACATTTTAATAGCACCTGTGAATTATGTTCCAGACAACTTTGTGGTGGATCACAGCTCCTGTGTACGTGCCTGCCCCAGCAACAAAATGGAGGTGGAGGAGAACAGGATTAAAATGTGCATTCCCTGCACAGACATTTGTCCCAAAGGTACCGTCACTGTAACCAGTGTCTAATTGGCTTCTATCACTTTGACTTGACAGAGAAAGGCAATCCTCCTCCTAGCAGGATTGACTTTGATTTGTTTTACTTAAGGCCTAAGCTACAGTCAATATACAATGCATGTGGCTGCATGAGGAATACTGGTTAGAGCACTGGATTTTGGAATAGAGGGCTATGGGTCCAAATCCTGGATGAACAGTCCAGTTGTATTGCATCACCCCATATACTGTATCTAATACTGTAATAGTCTTCATTATACTTTTAATCAAAGATTTAGTATTTAATTCCAATGTAAAGTTTAAAAATTCACAGATCTACTGTATTATATAAAGTATAATAATACTTTAACTTGTCTTATACAAAAGGTTGAACAATTCTGGTGATTAGCAAAAGCTGAATTAATTACAGATAGTTCCTAGAATGATGTGTGACACCACACATAAGGTCACAAGTGAACTATAAATGTAGTTCCTTCAGCAAAGATACAGTATAGACATGCTGAGCATAGTCTGTGGTTTGGGGTGTGCCGTGGTATTTGCAGTCATAAATCTGTGCGCTTGTCTCTCTCCCTCGCAGCTTGTGATGGCATTGGTACAGGCAGCCTACAGTCAGCACAGACCGTGGACTCCAGCAACATAGACAAGTTTGTGAACTGCACAAAGATCAATGGGAATCTGGTCTTTCTCATCACAGGCATAAAAGGGTCAGAGTCCACATTATTGCTTACTGTCCTATATTCATGTTGCTTTTACTTATAGATATTTTCTTTTTTTTCTTTTGGAAGTGGTATAATGTTGACCCATTGTCACAGCACCAGCAATGTAATTGTGTACATTGTTGAACCCTTTCCCTCTGGAGCTGGCTGCTGTAGTTTGGAGCCACATAACCACACCTCAGAGAAAGCCCCTGCCTCAGTACTGTACATTACACACTGATCCTGGTATCACCAGAGCCGTGATCAGGACAGTCACACTTCAGAGTAAATGATACTGGAGTGCCGAGCACAATGTCTGGTTGCCTCTTAACAGTCTTTGCAGTGCTGCAGACTTGAAACTGAAAGAATATAATCCTGTTAAATGTTGGCAAACTGTGGGCAGATTGCACACTACATTGGAACTGGATGGGCGCTTTGCCCAGAGGGAAAAAAAGGGTCTTCTACATTTCCAGAATTAAAAACTGATCTAATTCTAGTAATTATTAAATCACATGCATCTTAGGCATTAAAACATCTGGCGGCTTTACATAGCCACGTTTTGATGCATTTATTTGTGAGTTGTGAAACGTTGAGCGTACCAGTAGTTATACAGTATGCACTGGCAGGATTATACATGTATAAAACACCCTGTATATAAATTATGTATTTACTGCCTCTGAGCAGGGGGTCGTTTTCCTGTGCGCTCAGTTTTATAACAAGCTTTGTCTGCAATGCTGAGCGAGCACTTCATTGCCGAAGTGTATGGCTTGCGGCTCAAGCTTGAACAGGTGTCTCCATGGACCCTAGCTTGCTAATAGGCTGAGATACTCCACCTCAGCCTGGGGGTCCCTGAGGCTGGGGGGGGGGGCAGCGAAGAGAGATTGTCAGAACTCATTTCACCTCTTGACCCGGACCCCATTGCCCTCAGTGCTGCAAGGAGGGCTTTTATTTCACTAGCCTGGCTCCAAACCACGCTCTGCCATCTCTGAGGACTGGGGCTGCTTGATGCATTTGTGAGCTGCTTGCTCACTTACAGATAGGTACGCTTATTCAAACAATACCTCCAGCCCTGAAGGGAACCCTCCTGACCCACTGCCTCTGCTACCCTTTTTTTGAAAAATAACTAAATGCAGAGTGGGACTAGCCATTTCCAAAAGATGCAGAGTTGGCAGAAAATTATATACAGTGTCAGCCAGACTCCCTGCACAAGCGCCTTTCAGACTCATGTCAGGGTTTGAACAGACCCCTGGGTCTGGGTACAGCTTTGTTGTTCATGGCTATGCATTTTATACACACTGCATGGCATTTGTATAACAGTGTGAAGTTTCAGTAAATAAATGGGACTTTCTTCTGCCTTGTGGACCTCATGACATTTTGGTTTAAACAAAGACGCATTTGCTTTATGTACAGTACACAGTCCATGTATGTGGCAAATCAGCCTTGACGTGTACTGTATACATCCTGTTTGCCACAGGTACTGTATGCATGAGCCAAGCTTTTCAATTGAATTAGCATCTGAATAAGAATCAAGATAGTTGTACTGAACATCGAATAGATATGCTGCCACCGCAGCTACACTCTCTGTCTGTACAAATTGGATTTCATTTCACTTCCATTCCCAAAAACATTGAAGCTGAAGTGGTATAGCCAGGCAGCCAAGATTTCCCATTTCATGCCTCTTTCCCGTCTCCTCTCCTTCCCTCTGCTGATCCTCAGGGATGTGTATCATGGCATCGAGGCGCTCGACCCAGAGAAGCTCAATGTGTTCAAGACCGTACGAGAGATCACAGGTGAGACACCAAGGCCTACATTCCTTGTAGGGAGAGGAAGAGACTGACAAGCACCGAGCACAGAGCAAATGGCCTTCATGGTTTTCTACTGGGGAACAGAGCCCAGTGGAAACTCTGTGTTACCTGTGCTGTTATATTAATATTAAGAGCCTGGTCAAAGTTAAATAAAAAAATGAAGCTGTGTGTAACAATAGAATACCTGCATAGCAAAAAGATAAAAGAACAATGAACAAATACAAGGCATGATGCAACACAGCAGCCTTTCATTGGCATATTGTGTGTTGCAGTGAGTACTCTTTCGTGATACACTTAATAATAGAACTCACACACGCCTTCAGCATTCCACTTCATTCCTGTTGTTTTAGAACACTGAGGGAGTCGTGGGTGTTTTGTTGGCCCTCAGATAAAGATCTCATTTCACGGGTTTTCTTAAATTGTTCATTATACCGTCTGTCAGAAACATCCAGTGTTGACACAGTTATCCTACCGAGCCTGTTTTTTTTTTCCTTTTAAATTATAGTGCCCAAAAAATTACGATACTTTCAATTAAAAAGAGGTTGTGGTCATATTTTGCACTGTTTGACATCGAGCTCTGTTTTTTTTTCAATTGTCTACTCTACAAATCTGGCACTAAAATACAACAAACAGTCTTTCTGTTAGCGTTTATAGTTGTTTGGCATCACAATGATATTAGAAATCTTCCATTTCTGCTTCAGAAAAGAATGGATGATGACTGTCCTTACAAAGGGTAGAGACTGCTGCAAAGATCAAAATATTCAATTAATTTGGCAGATGTAATAAATTCTAAGCCAGTAAAATGCAGCTGAGGGCATTCCTTTATTACCGATTTATCTGTGGGCTCTGTCACTCTGCACTCTCTCTTGGCCTGGTGTTTGCATTGCGCTCTGGAAAGCAGTCAGAGACTCAGCAGGCCATCATTACCATCATTAGGAAGATAAAGTTTCTGGAGATCAAGCTCAGGAAAAACTCAGTTGCTTAAAGAGCTGATTGTTGGGCTCAGAATGACTTCCCATTTCAGCAATTTAATCATTAAAGCAATTAGTGTCAGCACACATGCTGTAACAACACTTCAGCAGTGCTGGAATTACAATAATATCTATTATTAAAAAAATGAAAGAAAACAGAGTGAGTCGTGTATCTCTGGTTTTGTGAAATTATGTGTGTGTGTTAGATTGAGTGGGTGTCCATTAATTATGAGGTTATGTTGTTGATCAAAAGATTTAATCTGGTCTTAAATTACTTGAACCTACTGTTTCTTAAAACCTAAGAAACTATCAAGTACAGAATTCCCTTTTGGCTTTATGTTATTGTTAGAAGTGAAGTTATTTGTTCTTACAAAATGTGATGAGAATATGACAACGATAATTCCATATGGATGCTTTTCTACTTATTAACCAGGATTCAGATCTAATGCCTGGGTCGACAGAGGTCTTAAATGAAAAGCCTACTGAAAACATACTGTATACAATGTTGGGTCGAGGGACCTTTAACCATTTCCATTCAGCAGAACTTTGTGCAATCATATTGCAATGAATTCTAGAGAAAAACGTGTTCTATAAGGCTGTATTTGGAAAGGTTTCTGAATATGCATCTGTGATCTGATTTAATGTGCTTGAGATAATAGGAAAATAAAAGCAAACAAACCTAGTAACAGAGCCAGCTAAATAAGTTATAAAATGGTCTCTTTTCTGATATATTTTCCTAGTTTATTGATTAATAGCAAAACTGTTAAATTCTAGTTCTTTGATTTGATTCTTTTCAGCAAGCACGTGCTCTCTGAGAGTTTAGTTTTGAAAGAGTGGGTGAAGTACTCTGTTTCTCTGCCAGGCTTCCTGAACATCCAGTCCTGGCCTGAGAACATGACCGACTTCAGTGTATTCTCCAACCTGGCCACCATCGGGGGCAGATCATTGTACAGGTACACTCACTGTGTGAGGGGCACAGGGGCACAGTGTGGGCTTCCATACTGTAGGTCTCTCTGTTCAGAGCTGCAGCCGTTGTGAAAATCCTCATCTGGGTGTCTGACAGCATCGCTTAGCTTGCATAATAGCCTCAGCACATTCATTTTACATTGTAACAATTATGGCATGTCACAGAATATATGAGAAAACAGCTTGTGAGAGGTGTAACAGAATGTTTGGGTTTTTTTTCTGTCAGTAAAAAGGCACACTCCAATGCACTCCATTTAACTTTAAGTTAAACATAAAAAATATAGCAGATAAAGATTTTGATGCTCCTGTAATACATTCATCAGGAGACCTTTTTGTAGAGAAAAAAATCCAATTATATGTTTATTGTCTACATAATTGGTCTTTTTAATGAGTTATTTTATTTTTGTGAAGTATATTTTAGCCGTCTTCCATTGCCTTCTCAAGATCCACATTTTCAGACTGTTGGTCCTGTGATTTATCCTGCACCTGCAGGACGTGCTGCACCTTGTATTGTTGTGATTATCATGTAACGTATTTCACAAAGATCCAACCTCATTGTTTGTTGTAAACTTGCACTGTAAGCTTTTACACATCAGTAACTGCTTTAATATGTCACACTTATTGTAAGTGTGATAAAGGTATCTACAAAAGTGATCATTTTAATGCAAATGTTTTATTAGGCTATTAAATTCTGTTCCTTATTGCATATCAAGATCTGCAATATCTGTGTCACTACAATCGGAATACTGACCTTTGACACTGGTGTGTTTGACAGCGGGATCTCATTGCTGATCCTCAAGCAGCAATGGATCTCCTCTCTGCAGCTCCAGTCGCTGAAGGAGATCAGCGCAGGGAACGTCTACATCACCAACAACACCCAGCTGTGCTACTACCACACTGTCAACTGGACCAGTCTGTTCAGGACCAGCAACCAGAAGGCCCTCATCCGTAACAACCGAGACTCCAATGAGTGCAGTGAGTCTCGTCCTCTTATACTGTAGCAAGGGCAGTCAGCTTTGTACTCTAACCAGCGCTCATTTAGAGCACAGAACATTTAGAAGTACGTAAAAACTTACAATTGAGGAAGCCACTCAGCCCATCTGTCGGTTTTAAATATGTTTTCACATGAGAAACACATTTCTACTCCAAATATAGTTCCAATTGAGATGTCTGATTTCTCTGGTTTGATTTGAAAGTTTTTTTTTCTGGAATTAAAAGAAACTTTTTGATATAAGTCACAGAGAAAAGAAAAGGGCTTCAACAGCCCCCTTTTCACGCAAAGCACTGCATTCCAAGATGGGATTGAAAGGAACAATGTGACATGTTGTTAACAACAGGGGATCGTGACACAGGGGGTGACAGGGCACCCAGAGCTTTGGGTCAGAGAAAAGGCTTCACACTGGTTGAAATAAAATTGCTGTCGAATGAAAAATGAAAAGCTGACAGGAAAGAGAATCACTGTGACTTGCTGCAATACATCATGTATGCCTTTAAGCACCTGGAAAAGATTTCAAGGTCGAAAGCATCTTTCTGTTATTGGTTCCCCCCAGTCTTGACTGGCTGAGGACTGGGAAATGGAGCACATGATGATATGGTCTTTGCAATATGAAATGTAATAGCATCTGAACAATAGCAGCTATAAATTGCTTTAAAACCACTCCATTGTCTAACCCTGTGGACAACAATCTCGCAATTTTTGCGTATCTAGAATAATGATGGACAGCTGCTTGTGCTCTCAACAGGTTGAAATGTTTAAGGAAAGAGATTTTGTTCTTTTTCTATTGGCATTATTAAAGTTGACCATGTCTGAGGTCAGTCACTGTGTCCTGACTAGAACACTGAGCACTGGGTGAGAATGTGGAGTTTTTCTTTTTTTTTCTAGAAGAGGGAACATTATTTTATTAAAATAAAAAGTGTGAATAGCTTTTATAATGAACTCGCATTGTTTTGGGACCATATTAATCAACCCAAAAGAGCTCACATTCACGTCTGAGCACTTCAAATCAGGCGTTAATGCGCCTAGGCCTATTAATTAATCTGCTCCTTAATCTGCCCTTCTCTGTATTCATCCATTAGTCTATTATATAGCAATTGATCATGGAACTGATACACCTAGCCGGCAGCCGTCTGACAGCACAGACAGTGATTCCTCTCAAAGGAAGAGAGCTGGATGCAGCCCAGAGAGTGAACACTAAGGCAGTCACAGAAAGCAAGAATCTGGAGGGCATGCTTACTGCTTCTCTCACTTCAAAGAGCCAGGTTTACATTGATTTTTTTTGCCTATTTTAGAAGATTCTCTATTTTTCCAGTTGTAAAACTGAAAAGTGTTAGGTTCACAGTGGAAGGGCTAACTGCAAGCTGAGCGGTGACATTGATGTGTGGATAATCACCTTTTTAGCTTTCTGCGGCAGTAGCAGTCGGCCCTGCACGGGGTTTTGTTGTTGGGGAATGCCTCCGTATAAAAAAAAAAGCCAGCTGGAATCCTGATAAGCAGAGTACATCTTAAACGTTCAGAATTTACCACATAAAAACATGACTGATAACTCAAAGCCCTTCTGCATGCCCCATTTGTGGTAATATCTCACCGCAAAGGAGCCACCCAGAGTAATGGAAACAAACCTGGTTACAAGCCCACATCAAAACCTTATTGGTCACAGGACCTGGGTTCTGCGGTTCTGTATGGCCTGCTCTGACATGGCTGAACCTGTGTGTCTCAGTTGCAGACAGGATGGTGTGCAACCCTCTGTGTTCGGATGATGGTTGCTGGGGCCCAGGGCCAGACCAGTGCCTGTTCTGCCGATTCTTCAGCCGAGGGAAGACCTGTGTGGATTCCTGCAACCTCTACGAAGGGTGAGAGAACTTTGCATTTCCTATCGTCTTACTGAATTACACAGCAGTACCGAAAACAGACAAAGAAATCCTCTAAATAGCTTAAGATTATAGGTGGCTGGTTACAAAACAGTAGGCTTTCACTGTAACAGTTGTAAAACGTGTTGTTTGAATAAACCATGTCCAAGTTTGAAACAATGTGAAATTGCGAGATACAGTAGAAATGTTTTTAAACAGACTACTTTAAAGCAGCCATGCTGAAGTCTTTTTTTAGCTGAATAAGAATCAATGAATAAAATGAAGGTCTTGGCAAATTTGAATATTAATGGTTTCATTTACATTTTGAAGGAGAATTACTCACTCTAAAACGAAGCTGCTTGTGCTTTAAGCCCATTTTGCGTTGAGAAAAAATAGGCAGTGTTAATGAGGTATGATGGAAAAAGGTGTTCGCTCACTTTGTTGGCATGAGAACATGGTTGGTCCTGTTTGATCATTCACAGAAAGTACAGTACTTTACAACATGGAAGTTGGGAGGTGTTAAGGTCGCAGATGAACAGTGATTTAAAAAGCACCCCACTGAGGAGTGCAGCCAGTTTCTACTGACTGTAAAGCAACTGTGTACAAAAGAAAGTTCAAACAGAGTTGAAGGAAATTCTGTGCATTTCCTTCAAAATATGGCTTTGTGTGTACCGATTCAGTACTTGCTGATACTGCATAAAAATAAGGGTACAGGCTTTGTGGCAGCTTGTCCCTGTTAAAACCATAATGATGCAGGTACCTGGATTTCTTCAGAGCTTAAACTACTTCAAGAATACAATATTCATACAGACATACAAAACAGTAACTTTGCTTTGTCTGACTCCTTTGTATGAATTGATAAATCCTTCCTGGTGTGTGAATAAAATAATGCTGACATGAATATCAGCAATATAACTTTTCAAATATGATGCATGAGGTTTTTTTTTTATAAAAAAGAAGAAAGTAAACTCAATAAATTAATCTTAAATTAAGCGAGGGACTTAATAGCTGCTCATGTGTATTCATAGCTGACATATACTGTACTGTATATACTGTAAAGTGTTCGGGTGACATTTGTTGTGCATTGTGGTAGATTTCCTTAAGTATGTATACTAAGGGATCACTTAACCTGTATACTAAGGGATCACTTCAAATAGTGTGTTCAAAACAAAACCTTGACTAATGTGCAGTGTTAATCAAGGCACACATGAAGACTGTAAGTCTTGTATGCACCCAATGTTATGTGATGGCGTGCACTCACACAGTTCAGGAAAACACTAAGGCTTTGTTAATGCAAATCTGCAGCTCTACAAGATGTACCCCCTCTCTCCCAAACCTTGAACCATCCACTCCCCGGTCTCATGTCCTTCTGAATCCTTTTCTGACTAACACAGTCTCGGCACAGCCTCCTGAAGCCTCGGGGCTCTCTCTGAGAAGCTGACGTGTTTTACTGTGAGCAGACTCTCATTTTCAGTTGTGGATTGCTTTCACTTCAGTTGCAGTGCCCGGCTCTGACAGGAGGGGGCGATATATGTTTTGTGTCCTGCTGAGAGGTGATTAAAGAGCAGAGAATAAAAAGAATGTCAAGAACAAACCTGTTTTGAAATTTCTGTTGGGAATTCCAGAGAATTATGCACGATAAAAGACCAAAATGTTTAATTAAAAAATCACTCCTGTGGATTGACTAACACCGCGGTACTGCATATCAGTGGGGAATAGCCCGGCTCTCACTAATCTCTTGCTAGCTCCCCTTAAACTTGGTGAAAATTAACACCAAAAAGAATTCAATTAGAAGAGAAATTGCTTATTAGATTGGAAATGAAAATTAATTTCAAATGGGAACAAAGGCTTTGTTGAGGCTTATTTTACAAAGCAAAGCCCTACACTCTGTCCATAGAATGAGTTCCCCACAGCCAAGCCCAGCCCCCCCCTCCAGCCACAGCTCCTGATAGAATTTTAATTTTCTGCACAAATCTGTCTGTACTGAAAATGACACAGGGATTAAAACTGGAGTCACAGTTAAAGCTTTAAGCTGCAAGACCCTGATAAAAATGCATATGTTGTACACTTTTTTTGTAGCCCACACACAGGGATTTTCTGAGACCGCGGAGACCCAGTATGGTTGAACTTCCACACTATCATCTTTCCTTAAAAACTGTCGTCTGTGGAGTGGGGTAGGGCAGCCAGTGTTCTCCCAGCTCTCAGTCATTTCCAATGATTTCTCTGTGCTTGGTGAGACACCGAGCCACCTCATCTCACTCTATACTCAAAGACTGGCACTACTGCAGGTGCCTGAAACCTCTCATAGGGAAGTTTGTTACATTTTTTTCTGATATTGTATGATTAAGGGCTGTTTGTGGAATTGTTTTTTGCTGGCTAGGACAGAGCTTAGAGAAACAATATTGTCCGTGGGGGCAAACCACAGCAAATTATATTCAGTACAGCAGTGTTCTGCTCCAATGAGGACTACAGTACAGTATATCCAGGTGCATATACTGGCCTACAGGTCACCTGGTGGCCTGGGAACTGTAGCTTGCAGGTAATAAATATTTCCTAGTACATACTGTAGGAGGTTTATCAGGACACAGCTCCAGATTGAAAAAGTAAATGGGTTTGAAAAACTAATGACACCACTTTAGTGCTGTTGTCCAATTCAACTGTTAAATGAGAAAAAAAACAGTTTGTAATATCCAGGGTTGGTAAGACTCACTGAATAAGAAAATCTGAGTTTTTTTTTCTTTTTTGTAATAATATAAAAGAAAGGTTTTAAAACTAATTTCCCAGGATAAAGGCTTCAACAATGTAGCCCAACATTTGTTGCGTAGCCCAGATAAACAGTAATTAATTTTAATTATTTTTTTTTTCTCCCACTGAGGCAATCCTTTTTAATTAAAAAGTAACATTGCCATACGATGCGCACTCTGAATGAGATTTGACTTAATCCTCCCTCGGAGTGCAGACAAAGGTTCGGAGGTTCGTGGGTGAAGGTGGCTGATAATGCTTTTGACACCCTTATCAAGCCATGCGCAGGGTTGGTCTCTCCACAGGCGCTGGAAACAGGCTTTTCCCCACCGGAGAGATTAGGGAAGGAGGAGGCTGGAGGTGGCACTGTGAGGTTCCACTCGGTGGAGCTGCCGAGTGTCGTCTCACACATGAGTGGGTGCCAGGCTGGAGACTAGTACTATGGCAAGGTGGCATTGTGAGACAGGCTGTGGATGTGTGGGATCCTATGTGGGGAAGCCAGGTTGCAGAGCAGAAAATTGCATAGGTGGGGGTTCTTGATTATGCCTGAGAGCAACACGAATGCAGTTCAGGATCCTGCACAGAACACCGGCTGCCAATACAGCACAAAGATCTCCCAGGAAAAAAAATGGGTTGTTTTGAACAGACCCATTCACCGTGACATTTGTGAAGGCTTCCGTTTTTTTTCCCCATGGTTTGTGCAAATTGTGGTGCTGAATTGGGTCTCCCTCCCTCCAGTAACACTGGAACTCCAGTGCTGAGGCCACCTTACACTCCACGTCACACAGCCTTAGTGTGGACAGACAGTTCGTTTTAACAATGTAAGAGTACAATTCTTCTGACAATGTGCCGGGGTGTGGCCGATGGCGAAAGTGGTGGGATGAGGCATGTTTGTTTTTTTTTGTTGTATCTTATTTTGTGAAAATGAACATAAAAAAATGCATAGCATAAATTAGCTGAGAGATATTACCAAGCAGATGGAACCCAGGTTCCTTTCCTTTAAAAGTGTTTTTTGCTAAAGACCGAAGATTATTCCCAATGCATTATTGCACAGTGCCATGTTTTTGAGACCCTCAGCTGGAAAGATGTGCTATGGAATTGTATTGCCAGGCTTTCTGTTGTAAAATACCCCATTAGAAATGATTCTCTTCTCTTGGATTCATTCTCTGCATTTTCAACACTCTCCAGCACAGTTTGTTTAAAGTGAAATGTGTGAGGTCTCAATTTAAATTCGCCTGATGTAAATATAAATTTATATGAATCGCCATTTCTTTTTTTAGTTCTGTTTGCATCGCCTTAGGCATAGACTGCCTCCCAGCATTCCCTCCTGCAAAATAAAGGACCTGCTGTGCACTTCCCTATGGACTGCATAGGCTACATGTTTTGCAATTTATTACGCATGTCTTAATTATTCATGACTTTTTTTTTACTCCGCTATTCAGAATATTGATCCATTTTAGGCCTTTGTGGGGTTTTCTTTTCAGTAATATAGTTAGGTAATTCCACTTTTTTCTGTTACATTATCTCACAGGTGTAACATGTGACAAGACATTAGGGCGAATGCATACTGTATCTATTACTTTTGTAGGAGCAAGTAACATAAAAAGGTTACAGATTAAAGGGATTGTTCAGCTCAGTGAAACTGCTCAACTCAAACCAGCTGTTGATTCCGTTGATCATACCTTGTGCTTTAAATATACTTTAGGAAACACCCTATTACCAATGCCCAATGCTTTTTTTAAACCACAATTTGAATTTAAAAGAATCACAGGACCAGATTAGAGTCAAGAAAAAAAGATATCCTGTACAGTACACAGTTCAATTCTTCCTAGAGCTCTTTAACATTTAGCTTTAAACATTCAGGGCTGATACAGCCATTGCAGCTAAGTGGTGTTACGTCTGATTTCCTCAGTGTGTCCACATTCATGCAGGTGTTTAATTCAGCATTATTGCTTTCATTAGTTGCCCCAGACTAGTCTTAATAAGCTTCTTGTTTAATTCTGTTCAGCCTCTCTGTGAGGGGTAAAATGAGTAACGCAAGTGGTTCCCATCAGTGCCACCACTCGTTCGATGTCCACGCACACCGCGCTGGCGGTCTGAAAGGGAGAAAGCAGAACTCGAAAATGCAGCTATTGATTTTTTTTTTTTATTCAATTTCTCCATTACCCAGGGATATCCGGGAGTTTGCCAATGGATCAGTGTGCCTGGAGTGTGACTCCCAGTGTGAGAAGGCAGAGGATAATATGTTAACCTGCCATGGCCCGGTAAGATCTGTACACATTGCAGTGATTGATTGGAGAAATGTCAGTAATTTGTAATTCCCTTCCACACCATTCCCTTGTAATGTAATGACATTTTACTTATTAGTACCTGTTAGTAATCTACGTTGTTTTTTGGTATCATAATGAGAGTCCATGGCTCATTTTCTCATGTAATATCACATTAACTTCAATCCATGTGACAAGGCCGTATTATAAATATTATATCTTTCAAAAAGAGGGAATATCACTTCTTCCTCTTTTTCTAAAAATAGTTTGTTTACAATCAGCGCAACCAGAGTTTAATCTTCACAAAGTTTTTTTAACCGATCATAAGCTATTAAGTAATATATTTCTGTTGTGTTCTTTAATCATAGTTATTCTATAGAATATTTTGTGTCAGCTATGCAGGACCCATTTAATTTCATTCCATATTTAATCATTTTCTGAACATATGGAAACTTCACCATCTGTAGAAATCTCTGAGGATCCCTGCCATGCTAGGAAAACAAAGAACGGATTTGCTTCATGGTTAAAGGGAGACAGGGAAAGCCATTAAGACATGTAATGAGTGGTTACAGAGGGATAAGGGAGAACTGAGTCTCGCTTTAATTGAAAAGTTAAACCATACAGAAAATAGCCTGACACAGATTTCATCGCAATTGCTATTAAAACCAAAACGTCATCTTACTGTACATTTAGGCATTCTGCCTGCTCCCCCATGAACCCTCTTTCTGTCCCTGTCTGCCCAGTGACAGTGGATGGCATGTCTGCATGTTAATGTCTGAAAAGCAGATTATACCTTGTAGCAGGAGAATGGCACGGCATCAAGTGATAGAAAGATCAAAGGTGATGCTGACTTGATCATTTTTAAAGTTTCAAAAGCTTTTCTTAATTAATCCACCTTTTAACTGTTTTGTATTTTTTGTTTTGTGTGGAAAGTGAACACATCTAGCACTCAAAAGAGACTGAAGGCAAGGGACAGCTCATTGTGCCCTACGACCTGTACAGTAAAGCATCTATAGCTGTATGTCAATTGATTATATATGGTATCAAACTATATATATTTTTCTGTACAATGTGTCTCATGGCCTGTTTCTTCCTCTCCACTTCCATTTGACACTCTCTTATTAGGTAGTAGAGATTAATCCTCCCCAGCTACAGAGCAGATATTCCATAAGAGTATAGTATGACACAGACTCATTATGGGAGACCCTAATGAAATAAAATTCATGGTCACCTTTGGATCTACAGGTCCACTGTAGATTGACAGAAAATATATTTTTAGGTCATGGCATCTAACACATCAGCAGAAAAATCTGCAAAGAGATATCTTAAACTAAAGCTATACTGTATGTTTGGTTTATGCCTGTATGAAGACGAAAGAATGGAACCAAAAGCCTCGAACTGCGACTGCCAGTGTGCACAGAATTTCAGCTATGAAGTTACTACATGGTGCAATTGAAATTATTTCAACAGAAACGCATATAATAGCGCTGATGTTCCAAGCATGACAGTTCAGTATTTCCATTACACAAATTATGCCAGATTAAAGCCACTCACAATGCTCTGATTTTGAGAGCAGTAAAATCATTGTTGTTGTCAGATGAAGAGAAGTGCTTGATGCTTTTGGCTCAGAGCTGTTTGTAGAGTAGTTCACAATGGAACAAATGCAAAATATTGCAACTTTTTTCAGTGCCATGTGACTTAAACCGGGGTTCAGGACTGTATGTGAAAAGTATGAGATGTCTAAGAGTCCTCTTTTACTACTGAATCTATGGTGCCTGTGTTAATGGGTACATACAGTCAAACTGTTCTATGGGAATGTTTATTAAGTCTTTCGTGCTTATTAGTTCATTAATAATAATGTGGCTGTAGAGAGTGAGAGTTCATAGGACTGCTTTAGTGTTTTTAATTGGATAAAAACAAATTGATGTTCATATCAATCGCTCACTGAAACTGTATGCTGTGAGCATACCCCATAAACTGGAATTGTTAACAGATAAATACTAGTAGGTTAACTGTTGAATGCACTTTTGTGAGAAAAATGTGGTACCCCATAAACCTTTCCACAGATATTTTGTATAGACAGCCCTCATTTTTCCTGGTACAGAGTTTGAGGGAGTTAACACTGTCATATTCCCTGCCTGAATAAAATGGAATGAGTTCTGAACTTTGAATTAGAAATATCGACACTAACATAAAAAGGGAAAGGTAGCTCTGAAAAGTTCATGATGTATCTACTAGGAAAATAGCCTTTATGATGGCCTGTTAATCATCCCACTGCTATCAGTGGCATCAGCTGGTAATATAAATCATTTTTTATGACAGATCTACAGAAGAGCCTCTCCACACCATAAAAGAACAGGTTGTAGATTTTGATTCAGAATTCATTAATCAGTAACTTTCAGCAAAGAACCCAAGGCTTCTAGACTAGTTCCAGTACTGTCAAGGCTATCCCATGCTGAAATTTTTCATTAGTTCAGCTATGTGATGTACAGTAGCATATCAGAATTTATTCACCAAAGTAAGTCCATTACACACCATTTCAAGAACATAGACAACTGACATTAGCAATCAGGCCAGCTGGACTGTTTATAGATTAGGCAAACTAACTGACACAACTAATAGCTACAAATACAAATCTGAACTGAAGTAGAAGATAATGGCCTACACTGTACATCACTGCTACTAGCAAAAGTCATTCAAATTAAAAAATAACCTTGCCTGAAGATTTTTTTTTTGAATATCTGACTTCCAGCTGAATATTCCAGCATCTGCACCAATAGCTGATGATGTTTTTGTAATTTTACTGCTAAACAGGTCATATTTTCATTTCCTGCATGCCTTGAAAGTGCATTTTTTGCTAGCTCTTTACTCATTTCGTATCGACCCATCTGTGAAAGTGCTTTTGTATACAAAATCATACGTTTGTATGTAAATAACTAAAGGGCTGAACAAATGAATAACTAAAGGATCAAGAAACAAAGGGTATCAGTCGTCATTTAATGCCAGATCTTCATTGATTTTGTTCATTCAGTTCAAAACTGAAGTTCTTTTTTGAACACGTTTGTGTTGGAAATAAAAACAATATTTTCCACCCTGTTTTAATTCGATTTTATATTCCCTTCAATTTGAAAATTCCCATCAGATGTTGATTTTTTACATTGATTGAACGAGGCAAAGGTAAAAATCTAATAACAGAATTCTCGTATATTTCCACTTTTGCACTCGGCCTCATCTTTAATTTTAATGTATTCATGCTCTGTTCTTCCCCTTCTGTGTTCCAGTGTTTTGTTTTAAATAAAGCTTGAATCGGGGAGCTAAACCATGTTTTTTTCTTTACTCTGTTTCTCTTTTTATGACCCAAGGAGCTTTAGATTTTGAGCAAAGTGCTGCTCTGAGTCAGCATTTGTCTTCGGAGATGATGATCCCATTACTTTCCTTGTGCCCCCAGCGGAGACTGGAGCACCTTGACGAATCAGCTCTCTCTCTTTTGCCTTCTCCCTCCCAGCTCTGAGCGTTTAAGCTCATATTACAGTCATAAATTTTGTATGCCTTTTTATTCCTTGTCCTTTTGAATGATGGTTATTATGCCAGCGTTATTGGTTTTATTTGTTTCCTTGTGTTTTTTCTTTTATTTTTATAGGGCCCAGATCACTGCGCGAAGTGTTCTCATTTCAAAGACGGCCCCAACTGTGTGGAGAAATGCCCCGATGGCCTGCAAGGTGCCAACAGCTTCATTTTCAAGTACGCTGAGGCCAACAATGAGTGCCACCCCTGCCACTCCAACTGCACCCAGGGGTGAGTCTCCCTCTTGCCCACATGGGCAGTAAAGTGAAGCAGTGTGTTGGCCAACAGTGTGTTTGTTCCCAAGAGCAGTGTGATGAGATCTAGCATCCCTCTTGGAACAGATATGCACCACGCATAACTCACTGAATGTACTGTGGGTTTGATGATTATCAATCTAGGCAGGCTTCTGTCAGTAGCATTACCGCCTTGTAGCCTGAACTTGTCAAAACACAGTACCTAGGCAAGGGTAAGCCAAGTCTTTACTGGGGTGGGAGACCATTTAGAAATACCAGGGTGCAAGTGTAAATAAAGGTGGTGCTCTTCTTTTAGAATGATAATTTCCAAGCCAATACCCCAGTATATTGACTGGTAGCACTGTTCTGAAGGAGGTGCTGTTTTTTAGATGGCTAAGGTGAAACTGAGGTCCTGACTACTTGGTCATTAAAGATCCCACATTCAGTGCAGGAGTTTTAACCCTGGTATCCTGGCTAAATCCCACCTTAGGTTTACAATGTGCAGAGTTTCCACCAGCTAATCAGTTATTAGCTGTAGATGTGAATACCCTCCCTAATGTTGAAGTAATGTGGGTTGGAGGAAAAGTGCAAATGCAAGCTCTTATTCTTATTCTTAAGGGAGATGCTGTAGGTAAAGCCTTATTGTATTGGTAACCCATTCAACTACTACTGACCTAACATAACACACATTTTGAAAGAATCATATTTGCAAGTCATTTGGTTGAGTACTGAGAGTGCACCCGCTATCGTCAGAAGAAAGCTTTAACAAACAAACCGAAAGCATCAGTAACCTGACACATACACCAATAAGCTTTCCGTGTTCTCCAATACTCCAATAATGATGCTGTATTCACAACCAGCTTCTTTCCTTATTGAGTCCATTATTGCTCGAACTTTCAACATCATCAGCAATGTGCTCATGCCACCTGAGCCACTCCAGACATTTTCAGCACGATAAGCACGATAAACAAAATCAAAAGCCGCGCAAACAAGCTGCAGTGTTTCTAGGAGACGTTGGTTTGGAAAACTCCTGCTGAGAAAAGGACATGACGAAGGGAGAAAATACCACATTAAGGGGAGGCTGAGTAGAACAAAGATACAGTATATGATTCTGAAGTGAAGGTGTTAATTACATTCTCTTTCATTGTTAGCATCTCACAGCTTGCAATTGCATTTTTTGGAAAAATGATCAGATTTGTTCTATTCTTCTAGCTCTTGCTACACATACTGTATCTGTCAGGTTCAGTCAAGTATTCAGTGATGTCTACCATTACAGTTGCAGCTACTGTACATGGCCACGTTGAGGTGAACTTATTTTGTTTTTACTTTGAAGCCAGGCAATTGAAGTGGTGATTAGTGCCGTGTAACCTCTTACTATCCCCCCATTTTTGAAGGGAGGGCAGAATTTCTGAAAAGAAAAAGTGCAGAAGAGAAGTAAAAGAGGGTATGCTGACACCAGTGTCGCCACTTTCAGCAACACAGTTAGAACTCAACACGTTAAAACAACATCATAAAGTGGGCTGAAGAAAGATGCAGACGATGTATTTACCAACACAAGACATGTTGCATGTGTTCTCTCATTCACCTCCACACTATGATGCTGTGCTTTATGACTATAAGTGCTAGGCTGAAGAGAAGTGAAAGACAAACTCAGTGTTTACAGTTGAGAATGGGAAAAAAATGCAGCACAGGCAGGCTAAAGGCTAAAGCACTGATCCTAGAAGAAGCCCCATAAGACTGGATGAGGATGAATTAATCAGTGAAGAAAGTCACTACTGCTTTGCTTGATAATCTAGCCCCCTCCTAAAACAGATTTCAGACAATGTACCGTCTTTAAAAATACTAGTTACCTCTGGTTAATGAAAAAAATCCTGCTATTTTACTATTTCTACAGTATGTGAAAGCCTTTCTGTGCATTATAATTTTTAAATTTGAATGTTTGAAGGTCAGGAGCTGTTTTAATGTTTATTTTGTACTCGTTAAAGCCTACAATAGAAATGATAACCACACCTTGTTCCCAACAGAGCATTGGTTTTACCTAGAAAGAGCCTATAGGCATTTCTTACTGTACTGTACATTGTTTTTTTTCCTAATCCACTGAGGAAATAATTGGTCACCCAACAATGGAAGTTAACACTGCAAAGTCTTTCTTTTTATTCATTGTGTGAAATGAAAACGTTGAATTATTGAATGTGCACTGCTATAGTCAACTAAGACTGCAGTCCTTTCTGCTTCTCTTTCGGTTTAATTAGAATTCTGCCATCAGGGAAAGTAGCAGTGAATGTCTGGCCAGCAGAGTGATCAAAACAAACTGGTGTCAGTCTGTGTCATTTCTGTGGAAGAAAGAATAAGAATCACAGGAGAAAACAAAAGAGCAGGGTTATGAATTGCACAGTACCCTGTAGCACTAATTGCACTTTTAAAAGCTCACATTTAAACACAACTTTATGACTAGGAACCTGTATTTCAGCTGCTTTTACAGCCTCTTACACAGACGATTTGAAGAACAAACGCTCACCATGCATCGACTTTAAAAGACCATTTTTATTCTGTATTTTATCTTTGTTAGCTTTTTATTATACCCTTCATTTAACTTGCCTGTGTCTCTTGTTCTACAGAGACTGCCATCCTCCAGAATTACACTTATTCTGATGAGAAAAAGTACCCCCTTTTTAAGTCTTATTCTAATGAGGGATGTTATTTTCTATTTCAAAATCCAAAATAGATTTTATGCATAACTTCCAGGCCACATAAGACCTGAAGTTCTGCTTTTGAACAGTCTTCATATTAGTTGGTTGCCTTTCAGCATCTATAATGATAATATTTTTTTGGTGTAAAACTGAGTGATTTAATTCTCGTATGCACACATCTTTGAAATTTTCACTCTCAGGTTGCTAAGAAATGTCTCCTTTTGGGGAGGTGGACTGCCTTGGACTTCTGTACAGCATAAGCTGACAGAAGTTGGCAGGAGAAATGTATAAAGGTTTTGTTTCACTGATTAAAAAAAACAGCACGTACTGTATCTTGTCTACTGCGACACATTCCGTCCATCAGCGGCTGGTGAAGCTCTGTGCGACGCTGCACAGTGTTCTGTGGTAGGAACGAGGACAGATAAAAGACCAGGGCCAGCAGGTTTGTGTGCCTCAGAAAGGTAAGTGTGATGTTGCTAACAGCTATCATTAAGGAGCAGCAGTCCGTGCCCGATTAGTAGCGTAATGGTGGTATTTGGCTTCGCTCCCTCTGGCAGACACAGAGAGTTAACGGAACTACTTTAACTCTGCTCTTCCCACAGGTGCGTCGGACCACGAATCCAAGACTGCATAGGGATGATGGATAGGTAGTCTTTTCTATGTTGTTCTCTCTCCCTTGCTATCTCTTTCTGTTTTCCGTGGATGGCGTGCTGTGGTTCGACTGGTTGTCTGCCAGGGCAGGCCCTGCCCTCTGGTCGGTGTGTGTCCTTTATTCTCTGTATTTTATTCTAATTGCCTCACAGGTGTAGAGGGCCGAGTAGTGCTGACTGCACATATTACCCTTGGACAGGCCACTCCATTTTACCACATCACACTAGGTAACATCCCTCGGTCTCCTTACGCTCCTCCTTCTCATGGATTACATCCTGGCTTCAGCCCATCCCTGTCCAGCTACTCCTCCACTCCCAGCTTCCCTCTCCCCACTGTCTGCCATGACATTTCTAACTGTACTGCCCCTCGGCTCGCAGATCCAGAGAAATGGGATCTGTGCCATAGTTTTTATTTAATGAGACATCATGCACAAGGCCTCCTCGTCTGGCACGATCGATTTCTAATGTGGTAGATGAGATCCCTTCCACCACCAAAATTAGACTGTTGACTCACAATGAGTCCACTGTTGAACAGCTGTAAGTGCTGCCCCCAAATCGTTTAATTTCTTTGTTTTTGGTATACTTGTAAGACGTTTCTGTGCTTCTCTGAAATTTCTGATGCATCGGCATTAGGCATCATGTCAGGAAATTGAACAGTTGTGTGGTATTCTTTACTCTTTTGATTTAGTGTTTAGAGAGCAGACATAACACAGCAGGGTGTCGCTTGTACATGTGGTCCACTGAAAATCAGTGTATAACAGCCTGTCATGTGTGAGGATTAAAACTGTATTTTATTTTCTTTAGTAAGTAAACAGAGACTATGTGCAGTTGTTAACACAAAACTGTCTGAAGGTTCGGGAATGAGCTGAAATTTCTAGTGCACACACTGTCAGGGTAATGACATTTGCCACTGTGGTGCAAGTTGTTTATCAGCCCTGGAGAAGATTGGCTCGACAGCACAGAAGGCCATTAGTGTTTTCTCTGCATGGAAAAAAAAGAGCTCTCCCTGCGCTGAAGGTCAGTGACAGACTGTATGAGAGGCCTGAGTGCTGATAGCCTGGCCTCCATGCAAAGCCCATAACTCTGCCATGTGGCATAAGCTCTGATTTGTGCTCCAGTGACTGTGTTCCCGGGTCTCTTTCCCACTGTATAACTACAGGGACCATGCTATGTGTACGTCGCATAAAGCAGGCAATTAAGACTGGCTAACAGCACACTGTTGGTGGGGTGGAGGATGATGGAAAACAATGAAAGAAAACTGGGGGTGAAGTCCTTTCACAGGGCCGTGAGCTGTGTTTTTCATTGAGAGGGTTGAACGCAAAAACATAACATCAGTTATAATTAAAACAATAATGACAGCAATATGTCTATTTAACTCAATTATCAATATCATTTTGCCAAAGGAAAAAATAAAGTTAAACAGTGGCCTGGGTATTCTCTTAAGGAGTTGTTTTCTATCTCCTGCGTCGTGTGGCCACAGACACCGAGAAACAAGAGCCAGGACTCTCTAAGACCATCAAAGCCAAATGCAGTTGTCACAGGGTCCTGCAACAGCATGTGGCATTTTCCCCTGTTTTTCTGTAATCTCTTCAATCTGGCCTGGTGCTTCTTATTTGGCAAGGGCTGATGAAATACGCATGCAGAGCAACACCCTCACTGGAGTCTAGATGCTGCTGGAGTCTAGATGCTGCTGTCTTGTCTTGGCATTGGCAATTGAGGAGGGAGGTGTTCTGGGTGAATTGTGTGGGGTGGGGGGTTGTTTAAAGGTCATTATTGAGGCTATGCACAATTAATTAAGACCCCCTGTCTCTGTCTGATCCTGGGGGACTTTGCTAACCAGAGACAAATGGCAGTTCCCTAAATAGCACCGTTCTCTCTTCTTTTTATATCTATTTTGGTGTTTCCACTTCCATTCAGTAAGAAAAAATTCCAGACAGCCTTGCATGCATCAGCAGAACAGTGGCCACAGGTCAGTTGTCGAAACATCAGCATTTCTCAGCAAAACCTCTATTCCTCCTTTCTTTTAATCAGAAGGTTTGCTTTGACAGGGAGAGATGTGGTGCTCCTTTGTTATAAAAGAAGGCAAACGGGCTATCAGAAGACAGTGCATTGGCTCCCATTGTGCCTTATTGTCAATTGTAGTTTGGCTACAGTCCCAGAGCTCAGCCTATAGCCTGTACTTTGGCTGCAGTCAGGGCTGAAGGGAAACCCTCCTATAGCTCTGCTACATGTATTGTATGCAGATTTGGTTTGGAGGTACAATGGCTGTATTGTAAGTTGTAAGAATGCTGTGTATTTGATGAATGCCAGAATTCAAAACAATAGTTACGTTAGCACATGTATTTAATCCTCACACCAGTGCACATAACCCCCTCCACTCACCCCCTTACTCCCCTTCTCATATCATTGCATACAGGGAACAGAGTTGATTCTGAAGCAGTTCTTACTACACCATTCTTCTTAGGACACCCTGCCACAGAGAGGGTCATGATCTACTGCCATGACAGACTCCGTTTTCTAATTGGAAGATTTTTCCTTAGACCTTCAGGTTAACCATGTGCAGATCTCGAAGGAAGAAGGTCAGCACTCTTTAGAGAATATGTTATCACAAAGTCATCTCCCCCCATTTTATAATGCCCCCAAACACACAAAATCACAAACACATACAGGATATGCTGTCTACTATGAGAACAATTTAGCCTTTCATGGACTTGTGTTTGGCAAGCACAGGTCTATATCAGCTATCACCAGTAATGTAGATTTCTGGAACATGCTATAAATATGTACTTTTTAATCATTTTCTTTACAGAAAAAGGTGCTGTTGGAACCAGTCTGTAAAAAGCAGCTTGGCTATGAGAAATTATTTTTTTGCTTTTCTTATTTGTCTTGCTTCATTTGTTTTTGTTATTGGAGTCATTTCTATGAAAAGTATTAACACCAGGGGGGAAATAAAGATAAAGTTGAAACTAAATGAAGAGTTTATGATTAATAATAAGCCCAAAACAAAAACAACGTAGGGCTTGTACTGTACTCTAGTCTTGAAAAATTGACGGAGTTTACTGTATTCTCTTAGGGGAGAAAAAGAGAACTGCTGTATACGATTTAAAGTAAAGGGGTCAAAGAGACTTATCCCTTCTAAATGATATTTCACAGAAATGAGAAAAACATCAAGTTAAATGCCTTTACTGCGCAGTTAACTTGAGATTAATAAGATAAGAACTAGGCATTCCTAGGCAAAATTAAAACTGCATATTATCAGCAAATGGCATAAAAAAGCATGATGCCCACTGAATCTACCATGTGCAAAATTTAAGAGCCCATAATAGTGGATAATTTATGGAAAGGCATAAAACAGTCTGAAGAGTCTTAGATTCAAGTGATTTCAATTGATTAGGCCCATCAGAATCACATATTCTACCCAGAGTGGTTGGTAGATGAATTCTGATTATTAGGAAAGAACAGAGCTCTGAAAGAAGAGATAAAAATCCAACAGTCTAGTTCATTAAGACTTTATTCATATAACAGTTAAGGAGAGTGCGAGTGGTCAAGGTTAGTGACACTTTTGCTAAACCACAGTGGCTGAAGTTGTACTTCTATACAAGCCATGCCTACTCTACTGTATGTATGCATTTCTGAAAACTCCTAGCTCAGAGAGTCAGACCTGAGTTGATTAGATATTGTAAAATATGGCATGCATCCTCTTTATAGACACAAATATTCTTACTGAGACCATTAATAACCAAAAATGTTTAAAAAGCTGCTTTTATAGTCTTTTCAAATGTTCTACTTGGTCTTTTTGTCTTTTACATCTTTTGCCAAGATTTATACATCTCGTTCAGAGCTTGATTTGCATTTCATTATCTGTGATTCGATAGCTGAAGAGCAAATAGCTCAAATTTATTGCAGTGCCAGGAAGGAGAAATGATGAGTTTTTTTGCAAATAAACTGACTGAGGTACTCCTGCTTTACTGCTATTGTTGCATATTATGAAGCAAATGGGCATCATACATACTCTATTAGGATAGTTATAATGTTAAAGGGGACTACAGTACATTTCTATGACAGGTGCAACACTCAATTACTAATTTATCACTGACAGTAGCAGTTAATTATCAGAAATGTGTAAGCAAAATCATAGCATGTCTTCTTTTTTATACAGTATTTATACAGTATATTTGTTTTTTTAAAGCTGTATTATGCTGTACTATACATCAGCACAGATGCAAAACCTCTTGAGATGCATCTGACTTTTGTATCAGCTTCTGTTTTCACATACAGAGTGTAGGTATGTCCTGGATGACGTATTCTTCAGTAAATTAATATTCTGTGACACACAGGTAACTCACAACACAAATACCCTCCACAACCCAACCTTTCTGTGTCCAGGGCCTATGCACCTTGTCCGCACGGGCCTTTAGATCAATACGCTATTAACCAGAGAGAGCCTCATTCAGCTCATGTGCTGTCTTTGGTTCTCTTTACATTATATTTCTTATTTTTTTGTTAATTTTACTCATTCATTATTATTTATTATTCATTCACATGCACCCTGTCACTGCACTTCCTAAAGGTAAAAAACGTGTTTTTTTTACCAAATAAAACAACAGCAGTTACTCAACAGCTGATCTTTTGTGCCACCATAGAGCTTCACTCTACAGACAGTGTATGGCCAGATTAGTATTCACCTTCTTCCCCTTTCCTATATTTTCAACAAGACTCGGTACTTGATTGAGATCTCACTTCATTGTCATGATTCCCCAAACTATTGCCCTGGTCCCCAAACTCACATGTCTTTATACCATCCATCCAATCAAGCCAGAGCCTATCCCAGCAAGCAACAGGTGCAAGGCAGGGTACACTTTGGACAGAGGGCCAGTCCATCACAGGGCAGACAGACACAAACACTCACATCAGGACCAATTTTCCCAGAAGTCAATGCCTTGGACTGTGGGAGGAAACTTGAGTGTCCTCATACCTTTCTTTTTTGTTTACGTTTTATTTAAGTTAAGTTTTAATTATGCATTATTGAGAGGGAAAAAAATGCAGTTAACATAATTATACGTACTGTACTATGTCACAACATTTAAGGGATCCACCTTATACAGTATTTTATTTTGCAGTGGCTGGTATTCCACCTGGATCTCTTGTATATGAAATTCTAAACAGACTCATATTTTTATCTTATGAGGCTTTGTTCTGTGTATTCGTATTGTTAAGGGATACTGATTGCTATTCAGGTCATTAATATCACCCTCCATTGCAGTAATGGATGTTAACTAAGAGACTTCCCTTTCAATGGCATGTAATGAACTATGAACATGTCATTGATTTGCGAGACCTGGGGGATCATCTTACTGTGTCTAACCTGCCGTTCTCTGACACTCACACAGGCATACCCACCACACTGACTCGTCTCCCGATGGTCCCTTTTTCATACATAATTGGGCCCCAGAAATGTGGATAACTTTGCAAAGGCCAACAGCCAGAAGCGAGAGGTTGCTTCTTTTTTATGAGACCCAACCTCTGTGCTGTCTTCGAAGCCACAGGACTGTGTGCAACAAATACAAAAAATCTCATGTGACTTTTCTCTTAACTACAGCACTGACCGCCACTGAGTGTGTGCCTTCTGGGGTTTCTTTAAACTCTGGATTTGTGAGCAACCCCTTTGTCCTACAGCTTTTTCATTTTTACTTCCAAAAACTATAGAAGTGCAATAAATGTCCCAGTGTCAGCATTCTGCTGTAGGTTGAGAGACACTACACAGCAATTTAACATGATGACTGAACTCACGAATCCCACATATAATTCCTCTGCTTTAATAAAGTGCTTAAAAATGACAACAAACATTTTTCTGGGGGCCCAAATGCGTTTAATTTAGTGATCCTTGAAGTTCACAAGCCACTGCACTCAGTAGCTGATGGAAACATGGGGGTTGTTCTGTGAGATCTGGCTGTGCTGTGTGAGTTGTCTCTCTGTGTTCTGTCCTGGAGTCTGTCTGACAGTCTTGTGCTTTTCTGTCTTGCTAATGCTTTTTGCACCATGTCAGCCCCGTTTAACAGCCATTACAACTGGGTGGAATAAGGAGATCTATTCACACCAAATGTAAAACTGAATGAGGAGAAATGTAAACAGAGAGTACTAAAATAAAGGAAAGTACACCATATAAGGATTATTGTGATTTAAAATAGAAAGTATGAAATAGAGTGCAGTAAATCTATCCTTTGTTCATGTCTAACCAACTAAAATATGTAGGACCCCATACAGAATTCTGCACTATCCTGTTAAAACAGAAATATTGGAGTTAGTGAGAAGTTATTCTTTCTTGATGAACCATACTTCTCCTTGCTATTTCATTAATATATAAATTGTAATGCTAACTGAGTTAGTGGTACCAAACATGTCAGGCACATTTTCATGTCATCTCTATGAATTGGACTGGGCTCCCTATCCACAATGTGTTGACAGTAGAATTTAGAAAGAAGTTGTGTAAGCAAATGTAACGCAAATCATATGCCAGTATTCTGTTGTTATTATTATAACAGGTCTGAAATGGAAAGTGTCTGTATAGAACGACAGGAGCATTAGCAGTGACAGCAGTGGGAACTCGGGGAATCGTGTCCTTGTCTCTCAGCTCACGCTGCCTTTCTCTGTGACTCCCAGGACTCCCCTCATAGCAGCGGGTGTGATCGGAGGCCTATTTGTGGTAGTCATCGTGGCACTGAGTGTGGCTGTTTACATTCGCCGGAAGAGCATTAAGAAGAAAAGAGCCCTACGAAGATTTCTGGAGACAGAGGTAAGACATGGAGCTTTCCAGTCAGAAGTCATGCTACATGGGACTTCTAGTACTCTGTTTGGAAACATCAAGTAAAGGAACCACATTTCCTTGCAGGCTGCTGACAAAACCTTGTTTGCTTTTGCTTTTGGCTGACGATAGTTTGTATAATTTCCTTTCCAGGAATCATAAACCTTACTCACTGTTCTCAGCTGTCCCAGCCTGCCTAAAAACAGTTTTTATCCTACTGATCATGTGGAACAACAGGTGTCAGTCCTTTCCTAATCTGCTTGTTGTTTCTTGTCCAGACACAAAATAAACTTTGTTTCTGTCTCAGGTTGAAGGGTACAGGTGAGGAGTTAAAATAAAATCACTGGGAAGTTATAAAGTGATAATTAGTTCATCTGTGCTAAAGAATGTTTAAAATAAGACTTTTCTGAAATTACATTAATTTTCAAAACCTTCAACGTGTTTAGCAACATGTAAATCTTTACTTTTCATTGCACTTTTAATTATATGACTGAAGCTACAATAAAGCAAGACAAAAGCAAAAACTAAACAGAGAAATTCTCATAGTGACGTAAACATGATTTAAAGATGGTATATACAAGTGAATTTGAAGAAAGGTTTTGAATACGCTGACTGACCTGCTAGATCTGATGCTGGCTGGGGGATCATTCCACAACCTTGGAGCAACATAAAGTCCTAGAGTTCAGCAACCTTTTTTTGCGAACAGAAAAGATACCAGTCCAAAGAGTGCAAACAGCATGTGTCAGGAGTTAACAGTTCATTGAGGTAGTCAGGATACTGAACATTCACTGGCTTAAAAGTGTGTAGCAATATGGATTCCTAAAATTAACTGATCATAGAACCACGATTGTGAAACCTTTACCTACTCCAACGAGCACTGCAGGTTCCGGGCTTTTATGAGTGACACCTCCTTTCAGCTGTACAGTCCCTTACCACATGTCACTAGCTAGATCCAAGGTTATACCAATAACTACAGTATAAACAACTGGAAATGCCCTGTTCTACAGTAAGTGTTGGTTTAAAACATTTCATATCAGTTAAATTACAAAAAACATCTATTTAGGTGTTAATTAAAACTGAAGTGGCATTCCAACATTTCTTTTAATCTGCGGTGTTATTAAGCATCTCAGCAGATTGCTTGGTCTAAAGGCAGCACTGTCATTTCTTTTCAAATTAAGAATCCAGGCAGTGAGGTTGGGATTCACTTTCAGGGGAATGTTAAAAATATACATACAGTATGCAAGCATCTGGCTCAAGGTTTGCTTTTCCTTTTCTGTACAGTACTCACAGCATTTCTGATATCAGAGAAATACCTTTCAGTTTTCATTTCTGTAATATATTGAAAAATAATGTAGTGTTATTGACATTTGTCAGGAATTCCCATCCTTATTTCTTTAAAAATAAATATGTTTCGCAAGCTAAAGGGTGATTTAGAGAAGAGCTATCAGTTTCACTTACAGTGTGTGAAGAATGAGGTATGAAGAAAGATTGTGTAAAGTAATATGACACAACAGTTTTGATCTATCCAGTTTAAACAGATTTCATGGATCTGTGGTTTACGATATGTGCTGCTCACTTTGAATATGTCTAGTGCTGTAATATTGACCAGTAACGTGGATGATTTATTAAGGACAAATCAGTTTAAAACTCTTGCAGAGACTCAGAAACAGTATCAACTTAAACCTTAAATCTAGGTTGGAATGTCTCTTAAATAAGGGTCATGTTTTACCATACCATCTTGACAAATTAGTGAGCTGGATCTGGTGGAATTGTAGACTCTGTGTTAGAACTGCAGTGTTTTGCAAGACTTGAATGGACCCGTGGTCTGTGAATAAGATGGACCTAATCAATAATCTTCAGAACCAAAATGTGTCATGTGCTTTTGCAGGGCTGTATTAAACCATTACTAGGCATCCCACTACACACTCCAACAATGTTGTGCACAATATGACGGATACCACTTGTTCAGGACTGTGAAATGGCTGGAGATATTATTTGTGGTGGGTCTAATGTAGCTTTATTGGTGGCTGCTGTCTGCCCTGGGCTCTCCACAATGACTGTGATGGTAGCCACTTCATGTGATGAAAATTTTACATTAGCAATAAATGAGGTAAACCACAGCAGTTACAGTGTATAGCTATAGTTTGGGTCTCTCTCCTGGGATCGCTTGATGAAAAAGCAATCACTTTTGTTGTAAATGCAGCCCCTAGTCGAGGTAACAGAATTATATTACTAAACGCAATTGACAGCTAGTCTAGTGCTTTAAATGGAACAGTAGGAACAACAAGTGCTTCTCACTGGCCTGCCATAACAAGACCCTTCAGAAGACCACATCTCCTTGTTTCTTTTACAAGGCAGTAATTCATTTGAAATTATAAAAGCAGCCGCTCTGTGGACTTGAACTTTCGCCTCGTGGTGTTCCAATCTACAGAGTGAAATTCTGAAGAGCAGCTCTTTGTGAGTGTGGCAGCTAGTTTGCAAATCCATTATCCTCAACACACGCCTCAGCTGAATGGATGTCTTCTGTACATTCTCATGCCACAGAGCAGAGAACAGTCTCTTGGCTCGCAGTGCTGTGATTTTTCACTTTTGTATCAATATAGGCGTTCACTGGAGGTGTTTAGATCAGTTAGTGCTTGAACAGGATTAGGGAAAGCAATAGGAATCACTCTTTTAAAAATGCCCTTTTGTGCATTTTGTTCAATTAAGAAACATTCAAGTTATAGCCTAACTCCTGAGCTGTTCAAATCTAGAATACAACTCGGATCGTTCGAATGGTAATGAGGTTTTAATAGCTTCCTCTCCTTTGTTACTTCTCACATGGTTTTATGAACAGAACAGAATGGCAGGTTGTTGTGAATGAGTTTTACCAACGGTACTGTCAAATGTGACATGTAAGAAAAAAAATCCCTTTATTTGGGAATATCAGTGCAAGCCAGAAACTCAAAAATGTAAATCAAGAAAACCGTGGCAGAACGCAGAGAATCAATCCGTTTAGGTTTCAGAACCACATGCTAGAGTGAGACTGTGGACAGCTCCTCCCAGCATTTCAGCAGTCAGCCCACATGGAAGGCTGGACAGCTCCGTTTGGCCATAGTACAGGAAGGTGGTTTCTGAACCTCTAATAATACCACAACATAAGGCCTTATTACAGTGGTTCCCAGCCCTGGTCCTAAACACAGGCTAACTGATTTCTGTTTTCTTTTCAAGGATATCTGTAAATTTGGTCTTAAAAGGTCTAATGGGATTTGTAATTGGTATAAACCCTGATTGAAGCTGTTATGCTGAAGGTCTTGGAAGAAGAATTGTCCTTGAAGAACAATATTTTTGAGACTCAGCACTGAGTAAAGAAACAAGTTAACTAAACATCTAAACAAGCAATTAGTCTTCAATGAGTACTTGCAAATTAGAACTTGGCTGTAATGCAAACCGGCAGACTCAGTGGTCCCCCCAGGACAGGGGTTAGGCACCACTCAGTTATTAAACTCTGGCTCTAAAATAGCCAGCATTTGTGCAGACTGCGCCTAGTACAAACCACTGTGGAGAAGAGTGCCATCTCTTGCTTGGCTTGCGTGACACAGGATTGTGACTAAAGTGCTAGAGAGCATTTGGCTATGAAGTGTGATCCTGCAAAAAGAACATTCATCTCTTTGTAAATCTGAAAAGATGTAAAAGAAATGTAGCTAAACGTGGAGTTGTTTCTTTCCTGTGGTTAGGTCTGATGCAGATCATTTATAGGTAGCCTGGATTTTCAAAAGTAGGTGGTTTGAGGGTTACTCTTAAAGATAAGATATTGATTCCTGTACTTATGACAACAGTGCTGGATAAAGTGTCCCTGTGCACCCAGGCTGGATCCTTGTGATTGAAACATGTTTTCTAAAAATTCACATTTACTTTTATTCAAATAATAATTAAAACAAGCTCTTAAAGTATGACTATTGTGGTAATCACAAATCCTACAATACTAGCAGCAAAACAAGTGTGTGGCTTTCACTTCCACCATGTGTTTTAAAAATAAAAATGCAAGTATGTATAAGGAATTGTGTCATAAACATGACATGTGTTGTCACAAACTTAGTCTTAAGTGAAAGAAACACACAAAACATAAGACAAAGAAAAAAAAACTTTTAGAGTGTGCAAGGAAAAATACTCAAAACAACCACAACCAAATCAAAAGTCTAGACCGCTTTTTGAGCTACTGACTGACTTCTATTAGTAGCTGCTTGCAAAGAGACTCTTCCACAGCCTTACGTCTGCTCTTGCACATGTTCTAATCTCCACCTGTTGCTCAGTTAAAAGCTTCTTCTCTCTCGTTTCTAAAATGTTGCTACAGACCATTTTCATTAGGCACTGCATCCATCTGTACCAACAGAGTAGGAAAGCTGTGCTTCTGATGTTTTTGCTGTATAGCTCTAGGTTCTGTATACTGACTGCCTTCTTATTGCTTGATTATTGACATCTCACTTTGACACTTTTTGCGCTGTTTCTATTCACAGGTGTTTTTGTTGGAGGTGGGATTGACTTTACAGAAATGTAAATCTCTAGACTAGCACTGAGCTGCAGGATCGTTGGGTTTTGAAGTCGGGGCACTTTGAATTGTTCAGAATTTCCCTTTGTTGTTTACCTTTTCATAACTTCTGGAAGCCTCAAGACATACTTTGGGAGGTCATTTCTTCATTGTGTTCTCTGTCAAGGAATTGTAAAGAGCTTCCTTGATAAGTTTCTTGCATTACTGTGACCAAGTTTTAAGCATTTTCTAGAGCTTTTATAACTTGCCATATGTTTTTTTTTACCCTGATACAGTATGTAGTTTCTTTCTAAGCTTAAATATTGCGTTTGCAATTGAGATCCGAACAACAAACATCTAGTTCCTACATTTTTACCAGTCTGTAACACATTACAGCTGTAATAGGAAATTATGTAACTGTAGATCTCATTACTTGTTGATGGAAAGTGCTACTAATATAGTCTGTACCAGGTTATTCCATGTTTATCCCAGAACAATACAGCCAACATGTCCAAGGCACAGAACTCCAGATGAGCAGGACCTGGGATGACAATATAAACTATTCTGGAATAAAAAAAATCCTTACAGAGAGGAAGATTTTGAAGATAAGAAGACATGAATAAATGACACGCATACCAAACATAAGCTTCTACTGAGTCTGCTGGTAGACTCAGTAAAATGATGCACAACTATGAGTAATATGAAAGTGAAGGGAACCTATGCATGATAATATCTTGTTGCAGAAAAAAGTAAGAAAATACATAGCACTAAAATAAATGTTTTTTTTCTCCACTTTGTTGATTTTTCCTTTATCTGCTTATCTGCTTTTCCTCAGCTGGTGGAGCCCCTGACTCCCAGTGGCACGGCCCCCAATCAAGCCCAGCTACGCATTCTGAAAGAGACGGAGCTTAAGAAGGTGAAGGTGTTGGGCACGGGGGCTTTTGGTACTGTTTACAAGGTAAGAGCTCAGTCTCGTTAATTTGATGGACACAGCATTCTTCATTATGACCTCTACTTCCTTTATAGCTGCAAAATACAACATGAAGGAGGTCTACCACACCCTTTTTATAATAACTCTGATAGGCAGTCTTTATAGACAACATACTTTTCAGAAGTCCAGGTACTCTAGGTAGACACACCGTCGGAAGCTGTCTTTCTGGTTGGATGCAAATATTTTTATGTGAATAGTGTGGATAACACGACAGCTTTATGAAAAACCTACTTGCAAATGCTGTTCTTTCAAGGGTTATAATGCATTCATAGAAACCTGCGCTTGAATTAATGACATATAATACAACGTGTGACCATGCATTATTCATCCCATATTTTCCTTAACTGTGGAGGAAGTAGAGATGGGCCTGTGTGTGAGAGCATGTCATCCAGGAATTACATGTGCTGTTTTTCTTAATTCCTAGGGTATCTGGGTTCCAGAAGGAGAGTCTGTGAAAATCCCTGTGGCCATAAAAATCCTCAATGAAACTACAGGACCCAAAGCCAATGTGGAGTTTATGGATGTAAGTTCCTTTCTAATACCAAGAAGGTGCTGTCCAGCCTAGTAGGGCTTGGCATTGATGAGTCTTTGTGTCTGTTAAATAAGTGATTTGAACGAGCTAACCAACCTACAACAGGCATTATAGAAATACCACACGTGTATAAAATTGAAGTGACAGTGATCAGTTAAGGTGAAGCAAAAGAAGATAAAAAATTGAAACATGAGGTCAGAGTATCAGAACGTGATGTGACTCCTGGGTAGAAGAAGTTTAGGAATAGATTAGGAAAACACTGCAACCAACATCTATGCAAGGTAGGGTTTGTTAGAAAAAAATGTGCAAATCCCTCAAAATGAGGAAAGGTACAGTACGGACGTCTCATTAGAATATGTATTTTCCTGAACAGAAGCAATACTTTTTATCTTTCCTGTCTATTCACCGGCCAGCTATGGGGTGGGAGTGTCACTCCTACAGCAGAAGGGAAGCTACTGTATATGCAGTCAGGACGTAGGGCAGAAGGAAGAGCAGTCCTTGGCATGCAGTTGCAGCAAGCCCTTTTTACAGTGCCTTCAGAAAGGCACGCAAGACAAGCCAGGCCTGTTATTTATTAAAATGCTTTAGGTCCTTTGGATTCAATTGAGGTGTCAGATACAGCATCATTATCTGTGGTGAAATGCTGCTTAGTGTTCTGCTAATGGTGCTGGTGGCTAGGTGCTGGGGTCTTAAGTCAACTTACAGCACATGGCTGCGTTCAACAGATGGAATAGGCAAGAATATTAATGCATGTTAGTTGTAATGTGTACACTGTATTGACTGTGTAGACTGCACATGAATGTAATTTGATGGATAATGCTATGAAGAATTTAAGCACAAAAACACCATTATTTTTTTTTTCATTTTCATCAGCAATCAAACATTTGGTTTTGCATAGGAGAAATAAATTTGACAGCTCCATTGTTAACGCTGTAGGATAGCAATTGTGTTAGCAGTTAGCAGTTAACCATAATGTTATACATAGTATGTAGGGGTAGTCATTAGGGTACTGTAGGTGTGCATAACTGTCATCTGTTTATGACTTGTTTTGAATTTAATATGTGGCTTTGATGTCTTTTTCAATGTCATTTTAACTCCTGCAGCTTGAAATGACCACTAATTTAATCTTCTCTTTTGAAACATTGCTCATGATGAACTGTGTAGTACATAACATCATCATTAATAGCTACAGTATGTATAATTACTGGATAGCCAATGCGATGCAGTTGCACTTAGGGACAATTGCATTAAGACCCTTTTTCATGACAGAATGTTCTTCTGACACTGGTTTAAAAAGCCAAGCATGCTGATGCTCCACATACAGTACAATACTGTATCTCCAACGCAACTCCACACCATCTGCAAACAGCACAAGCCTCCCTTCCATTACCTACAGTACAGTACAGGTCAAAGGTAATGTGTGGCACTGTAATGAATGTATGGTAGATTAGGTACCATGTTAAATATAGGGACTGTGGTTTCCTTGTCCAGTTACTGTACCTTGATTGCTTTCATTACATCACATAATACTGTATCTTTTGGGAATCATTGTTTCTATCTGGGAGAGCGAATTCATCTGCTGAGAGATAGTCAGCCTTTGCCTAACAGTCACACACATACAGTACACTCACCCTCCTCCCCTTGTCTCCCAGGAGCTTGTCAGGCATGTTAATGAAAGCCAGTCTTGCGAGGTGGGGGAGACAGAAGGACATTGACAATAACAGAGTGCATTTTAGCCCAATGAGAATATTAACTACAGTATGGTTGTGTGAATGGCTATCCAACAGTGAAAATTTTGAAGACATCCTCACACTGGCTTTATAATGATTCAGCGTTAAAGAACAAGGACTTATTCTGATTGCTTTTACTGTAAGCAGTAACAGAAGTTGTTACAGCTCTAGTCTTCCCAATCAAATCTCAATGAAATGTGTTTCTGTTAGCATTAATATTTTGGGTGTCCTTGCACAAATATTTTATATTGTATTACCTTAACTAATACTACTATATACAGTACTACCTGAATTACTGATGCTGTCCTAAGCATAGTAGCCTTTATAACTGTTCCTGGTTGCCCAGCCACCTACTGTACTTTCAACTGCTTCATAATTTTCTACACTACATTCTAAATAAAATGGGTCTGAAAATCCAATCAAGCTAGAGATGCTGGAGGGGTTTCTGAGATTCAAATTACGTGAAGCTCCAGGCTGTGTGCGGAGTCCCACTGCTGTTGTTTGCAGCGCTGTGCGGAACCGCGTGGGTGATTAGGTGACAAGACAACTGTAAAGTGCAATAATAAAATGTCTTTGAAAGTCCCCGCAGATGAAATTGTCTTGAAGGTATGTTTAATTACAATTTGCATCGTGGCAAGGAAAAAAGAAACCCTCACAGTCCCTTACTGGAGATTCCAGTCTGCCAGTGCCTGGATGCTGCGTCTCTTCTTTGGCACTCAGTAATAATGCAGGGATGGCTACAAGCAGCAGCAGTCTGTCATTAAACTGCTGTGCCAGAGTTCCAATGGGCAGCTATGACAGTAGACAGATTTCAAAGACAAATTCCTCCTCTTCTGTCTTTTTAAAGACAATCTGTCTGTCAATCAAATGCCAGTATCCGTTGGTTGTTCTTTTTCTCTGTAACGTGAGCAGAACTTCTATATGTTCTGAGTTAACTACTCTCCACTTTATTGCTGTTTTGTCTTTTCTTTTGTTTTTGCTATTGGTTTTGCTTGCTACTTCTAAGATGAAGTCTGAACTTTGTTCTTCCCAGCATGTGGGTAAGGGGCTTTCTCGTTGCTTGGTGGGTATGTCTCTGTACATGACATGCCCTACGGTACTGTACATCTGTCTGTCTCTTTCTTCTGTAGGAGGCTCTGATCATGGCCAGCATGGAGCATCCTCACTTGGTTCGCCTGCTGGGGGTGTGTCTAAGCCCCACCATCCAGCTGGTCACTCAGCTCATGCCTCACGGCTGCCTGCTGGACTATGTAAATGAGCACAAGGACAACATTGGATCGCAGCTGCTGCTCAACTGGTGTGTCCAGATTGCCAAGGTAGGGACTATTGCCTCAGTGCTGGCTTCACAACAGACTGGGTGACCTTGTCAGCCCTGTGCTACAGCTCCGAAACTCTCTGGCTTCACATAAAGACATAATGGTCTGAGCAGGGAGGGCAGTGGATGTTAAAAACTTGACCTTCTTTCTTATTCTCTCAGCCTTATATAGTAGTTTGGGCCACATCAGAGCAACTCACATAAGTGTAATTTATACAGTAAAGTTAAATAAGCAAGAATATTACATTTTCTGTCTATTTAATCTTTTGCATGCTTACTGTAAGTTTGAGTTTCTTTTGATATTGAAATGATCAAGTGGGCTCCTCAGGATCATTGGAGATCTCAGCGTGTGTTGGGCATGAAGATGATAAAGCTATGTGTGCATGCTGTCCTGCTTTGTAAGCTTGATTAGTGAATGTGAAATGAAATTACTTTTTTTTCTTTCTAGATTATTCTCAATTTAAAGGTTAAACTGTGTTTCCAATTGATTTGATGTCATTTCTCTTTAGTTGAGTTGTGTTGTTAAAGACTGGGGCAAAGAAGCTGTCTTTTTTATGTATTTCAAAATAAGACTAAGGACATCCCACTGCACTTTAAGGAATCAACGTTTTTTGATGAAGAAGAAGAAAGCAAGGAAGTCGAGTAGTTAAAAAATGAAAGTGCTCTCTTCTGAACCCTTTTAAAACACAATCTTTAGATCTTTAAGAATGTTCATATATTCAAAAGTATCCACTCTGAAAACTTGCTAAGTGTTTTTTTGTTTCATACAATATCACTTTTCTTTCACAGTTAATAAGAATACGTTTTAAGAAGTACTCAATTGTTTTGTTTTCTTTATTTAGCTTATTTTGGACTCCTGTGTATGTTTTAAGGACAACCATAAACAGATGTAGAATGAGGCAGATAATTGGTGATTTGGCGAGTGATATAAGATTCATATCTTAAACAACCAAAATAAGGAAGATCTATAGAGCAGTCTGTTACCTGATTTAGTTTCTAATGGCATTTCTGAGCATACTAACAGTAAGAGTGTTATATTCCAGATAATACACTCTAAAGTTTCAGATATATCACCCATCAGGGGACCTTTTAATGAACTCCTCAGCTAGAGAAAAAGCAATTGATACAAGATCTAAGTGTACAAATTTAATGAAGCAAAAACAGAAGTAATATTTATTTGGACTGAATAAGCTCTTGAACACCAATAGTGCAGATGCATATCTTTAGCTAATCTATTTGTTTATTGCATGAATAGCTCATTTCCTAGACTTGACTTTTCCCAGATCAGCGTGAGCTGATTATTTGGGCATGCACTGTGGTGGGTTACCTCACCTTCTATTTCTGTCCTTTTAGTTGCACTTCGGTTGACTGAATGGTTAAATAAACTGTACTCTTCAAATTATTCGGGGCATGAAGAGGAAATGATGCAGCAATGTGAATAAACTCACTGCTATCATTATCTGGTGTAATGTAGCTTCATTTCGTAGTTTCTGTATGTTTTTTTCTGAATTAGTGGCAGTCACATTTTATGCAAAAGTTGAGAGTCACCACCTTACAGCATTACAAATTTACAAATATTATTTGTAAAGGGCTATAGATTCACAAATATGCAGTGCTGGGAATCAGTGCATTTGTCATGGGCATCCCAGTACAAATGGGGCCTAACTGGTCTGGATCTTTCTCTTCTGTTCTGATCTCAATTCATAACTATTTGGAAGTGTTCAGGGATCCCCAATAAGTCTAGACTGATCTGCACTATCCGTCTGATCACAAGGGTCCTGTCCTGTTCCTGTCCACTGGAAATTGATTTCCACCTTGTCTTAGATGGGCAGCAACTCTTCATCACTGAATGGTTTGGGCATTGATTTAATAGCAACGATTAATCACCAGCCTCTGCCCTGGGGGCAACACCACGATCTGCTGGCGTTTCTTTCTCGACGACAGTTGTTCTCAAAACTTTGCAAGTCATTTTGCTATAAGTTGAGCGCTGTTCTCAGGCACAGGTCTTTGGTTTAATTGAGAAATTTAATTGTTTTTTTTTGTCTTGCTTCCAGTGAAGAACATGGAAAGTGGCTTTTAATCTGTGCTGCTCCTGGGCATTGGCAATTACTATTGTGTTTACATGAAGAAATGCAGGGCAGTTGTTATTAGTAATTTAGTAAGCAGAGCATTACATTTAAGATATCCTTCCTATTTGTAATCTTCACCACAAGTCTCCTTTTCTATGTAAGAACACAAAAAAGACCATTCAGCCAATTTGGCCCATTTGGTACTGTAGTTACTAGTAACTTTATCCAAAGATCTCATCCAATCAGTTCTTGGAAGAAGCCATAGAATTGACCTCACCTACATGACTGGGTAACGTTGTTGCATATTGCCAGAAGCCTTTATGTAAAGAAGATCCTCCTGTTCTCAGTTTTAAATGCACTTCTACATAGTTTACACTTGTGCCCCCTGGTTGGTTTTCCACTGTTCATTCTGAAGAAATTCAATAAATATCTGCGTCTTCCATGTATAAAAATACTCAGATTTACAAAACCTTCATTGTATACAGTAGGTATTAAATGAGAATGACTAATTTAGGAAATTAAATAGCCCTTATAAACAACTGTTCATAATACACTTAGAGATTCATAATACGTGGGCTTAACACCTTCACTTGACCTGTAGTTAGATTTCTTTTGAGTGAGAATCAAAAATTGCAATGCTGAGCAAAATGATAACAATGTAGGCTTTTGTAAAGTTTGCCCTATAACCATCCACAAACTGCAATGGGAGTTCAATTTAATAGAAAGATAGGGTTTCTCTAAAGTAGAAAAAGAGGTTATATAAATATAAAAATAGCATTGGAGTTCCCCTTTAAATAATCTCTGATAAACTCTTTTTGTAACCAATGTATAGATTAGAGGATATTATTTTCCCAAAATGTGCCTTTATATCCAGTTATTTTACTCTGGAAGGGCAATCATATTGTACTGTTTCTGCTTAATTTCAACTCGGCTAATAACTTTTTTAGTCATTTCTTTTAAATATATTTTTTCTTTGCCTCCAAAGACAATATCCAATAATGGATAGCTAATCTAGAAGGGCTTAATGTAGCTTCCGGTCATTTCCTTGTGCAAATCAGTTTCCATCACTGAGCAAACACATATCTCCTGAAGTGATTAGAAGAAGCCCCCGTTCTTTGATGTCCTCTTTCTGTCTCTGTGATTGCAGTTTTTTCTTTGCTCCCCATCTGGAATCCAAATGAGAGGATCCTTGCTGACTGGTTGATTTCCAGTCTTCTGAATCCCTTCCCCTCTTTGCAGAAGAAAAAAAAAAGAATCTGTGCGGGAGAACACAATTCGCATTCCAGGCTTGCCTTGCATGAAATTGTAAAAACAAATCTGCTTCTTTTTTTCATTGCATCATTCACTTAGATAGATAAGACTTTATTGATCCCATAGGGAAATTGATTATTTACTTACACAGGTGAATCAATTGAGAACACATTTCTTTTTTCCAGGATGACCTGGCCAGGAGTTTTACACAACTGCATTACAGAAATAAAAACAGTGAATGAAAAAAGATCAGCTTATACCATAACAGGACATACCTCAACTGGACATGACAGCACTAACAAGTTCAAGCATTAATGATTTAGCCATTCAGCTCAGAATGCCCTGAGGTTCAAAAGTCAATAATTTAAAAATAACTGGGCAAATAAATCCTCTTATTAGCAGAGGAATGGTGAAATGAGTTGCATTCCCCAACAATAGTTGTTCACGAATTTTTTAATTTGATTCTTTGATACCAGTATCGTAAACAGGAAGATTGTACAGACAGGAAGGAGATTTCCTAATTAAAGTTCTGCAAGTTAGCTTAATCTGTTGAAGTGTTTGTCCAGATTTCACTGAAGGCCAGTCAATCATTGAGTAAAGTTTATAATGAAGAGTGTGATAGGGGAAAATGAGGCTCTCTTAGTGATTTGAACCTTTCACTCTATTTCACCCAGTCTTTTTTCACCACATCTACTATATTCATATTTAAAAGCACAGCAAAACATTTGACCTTTATTGAATAAATTGAATCTATAATTGACTGACTGGCTGTTGCACTACATTTCTTTGAAGTTTTTCTACTTCTGTCAGTATCTTCACTCTTAAAATGTTACAAGAGCACATCCACTTATAGGAAATAGTAATGAAATAAAATAACATGGTCCATGGGCAGACATACAGTAACTGTAAATGTGTGTTTGAAACATTAATTCTTTAATATTGCTGTTGTATTGTTAATTTTTTTTATTAATATAATTTCCTGTTTTCATGGTTTCCATAAAAAATATTTATGACAGAAGAAATACAGTAGTTCTTGGAATTGAGATTAGATATTGATTCTTTTTCAACCTCATAATTTGTAGAGAAAGCACAGGGAGACATTGCTGGAAGAATGCTTCATGCAGTTCGACAGTAGGGAGTGATTGTTGGAGAGGTTAAGAGTATTACGGTAGTCTGAGGAATGTCTGGTTTATCAGTTTCTTTATAAAATATGTTGTTTTGTGAGTTAAGCAGGTCTCAGTGTGAGAAAGTAGCTTAGTGCTGAGTTCACAGAATGGGAACTAGGAGGATTTAGGCAGATAAGCCCAGACAATTTCCAATTACTGGACAGGATCATGCACAGTAATGGATGTAGTAAATTTAATATTTTGCCAGATTTTAGGATTGAGGATATGATGGATGGGTCACATCAGAGCCATGTACTACAAAGCCAAACTATTGTCTGCACAGAATAAAGATATCTGCACCAGTATATTGTAATGCATATTCTTAATACTTAAGATTGTTTCCGTTTTGTCTTTTCTTTCATTTTACATGATTATTCTTGGCAATTGCAGTGCAGTTGCATGAAAAGATTAAGATCATCATAGAGTATGTGTGCATATTCTTCCTAGACCACACTGGCAGCACCTTGTTTTTTCTACAAGTATGTCGCAGTACTGTGGCAGATGTGTTAATAAAC